TCTCCCTTGTCCCTCCTCCCACCCCAAAACAAGCCTTTCAGAGCCAAAAGAATATAAGGGCAGGCAGTCTTGGAGCAGGACTCCCCCCCCCCCCCCCCCCCCCCCCCCCCGCCCAGGCCCTGTGCAGATGGAGCCGAGAGGAGAGAAGGCCCTTTATCACCGAGGGCTGGACATGCGCTGCTCGGACCAAATCTCTCTGCTGCTGTTTTGTCCTTATTTGCAGGTGGGGCCCACCCTCTGCAGTAGTGACAACCCCGTGGTTTACAGCAAGATGGGCTGGGAGGAAAGGGCCTTTACCTACGATTCAGCGAGTCTTAACATAATTCATATGCATGCAAGTGGTCATTAAGACATCCCTCGTGGGTTAGGAGGCAGTACTTCAGGCTTTTTCTTGTACTTGGTTTACCACATTTATAATGACACTAGAGGCCTAGTGCACAACATTTGGGGTGGGTGTGGGGGATCCCTCAGCCCAGCCTGTACCCTCTCACAGTCCGGGACCCCTTGGGGGATGTCTGACTGCTGGCTTAGGCCCATTCACCACACCAGCAGTCGGACATCCCCCCAGGGGTCCTTAGCACTGCAGGAGTAGCTGCGCTTGCCAGCGTGAGCCCAGCTTCTGGCTGAGCTCAGCTTCTACACTGACCACCAGGGGGCAGCTCCTGCGTTGAGCGTCTGCCTCCTGGTGGTCAGTGCTTGTCATAGCGACTAGTCTTTCCGAGGTCTTGTCAATTTGCATATTAGCCTTTTATAATATAGGATTGCTCAGATCAAATACCGTTCTTCGAATGCCTGTCACTTGGCAACCTTCACAAGTTCCTGGCTTCAAACATGATGTGTATTTGACCTTAGCAAATTTGGATTCTGGGGAGGACTGTGTCAAATTGTGGGGATGTGGTAAGGGACCCTAACCGAGGAGGTTTGGGGACAGACAGAGTGGAAGGGAGTCTAATAGAAAAGAAAGAGATGTTACTGCCAGACAGGTCCGGGCTGCGTGTTACTCACAAGGTCAGCTTGTTCCCGCGCTGCCCCAGGAAGCAGAGCTCGATCCTGCAGGCAACAGTCGCAGGAAGGCAAGTTTCAGCTCATTACTTAGGGGGGGGAAATATTCTGGTTCACTAGAAATGTCCCAGCAATGGGAGACAGGCTGATTGACAAAGTGAGACTTCATATTACTGAAATGGCCCAGGTACCACCTGCCCAGACTGTTGTAGATGGGACTTCAAAATGTTAGTCTAGGTCAGTGGTTGGCAAACCCATTTAGTCAACAGAGCCAAATATCAGCAGTACAACAATTGAAATTTCTTTTGAGAGCCGAAAACCGCCTTCTGCGCACGGGTCACGAAGTTTCAATCATATTGTGCGTGCGCGCCCACACGTGGTGTTTTGTGGAAGAGCCACACTCAGGGGGTCAAAGAGCCGCATGTGGCTCTCGAGCCACAGTTTGCCGACCCCTTGTCTCGGTGACCAGTGAGAAGTCTGTAGATGCCTCTTGAAGTCCTTTTGAAGGAGATAAAAACATAACCAAAATTCTATTTATTTAGGAACCTGATGGATCTGGGGGTTTGCATCACAGCACATCAGGGCCAGAAAGGGCCCTTGGAAATGGTGTTTTTTGTGATTTTTGGCGTATCCCCCTCACTTAGTGATGAGATTAGACTCCATGCCCCAGGTTCTATACCTTAGTGGGACCAGTCATAAAATAGGACTAGAATTCATTGCCCAGTTGTTGTGCACTGACTCTGAGAGAGGACAGACACAGCCGAGACCTGCATGGCAAGCACAGCTCCCCTCCTTTGGGGCACAGATTTAAATACCGGAATAAACTTCTAGACACAAGCCAGGGCCAGCAGGCCAGGCAGGCGTCCGGGCTGGACTTCACAGAGTGCAGGAGCAGCGGGCTCCAGACCGCGCAGGAGGCCGGTGGCCTGCAGGCGAGGGAGCTGCCACGAGTGGACACGAGGCCCGGGCTCTGGAGCGGACGGGAGACTCCTTGGATGGAGGAGAGATGGTGGTGGGACAGAATTGGGGAGTCCTGAAATCCAGACAAGATTTTGAGACTTCCTGTGGGTGGCCGTATTTTTTGCCTCATAACAATGGGGCGGACTGTGGCATTTCGAAGGAAGAGGAGAGGTGGGTGTGAGACTGTGTGTGTAGACGTTAGGATAAGTCTCGGGAGGAAGAGCAGCCAGAGGAAGGGGCCAAAAATGGCTTCCCTTGAGCATGGGCTTCAGAAGTGATGCCTCCGCTCACCTCGTTTTTACGTAACACGTTGCCTTGATGGTGGTTGAGACGGGGGTGGAAAGGCCTCTGGACCACAGCCTGGAGGAGGGCTGCTCAGCCCGCAGTCTGGGCCAGCTCCTCGCTCAGACCCAGCCCTCAGCCGGCTGCCACGGGACCCGCTCCTGCCCCTGACCTGTGGGTGCTGCCGGCCTGTGCTTCAGGAAGGACGGGTACTCGGCTCCGATGGTAGCCAGGCCTCGATGGGTATTGGGGATGAATAAGGCACAAGTCATCTTCGGGGAGCTGCACGGAATTGTGGGGAGACAAACTCATAAAGAAACATGTATGGCCCTAAGAACATTGTATGGGGAGCCGTGGCAGCGCCGGGCAGGGCACCCACCCAGCTTCAGCTGAGCCCTAAACCTCAACAGGGGCATGGAGACAGCATGGACAAAGGCAGGGAGGCCAGAACCTGCTCCTGCCTGCGTGGTGGGGGGGAGGGCCAGGCAAGGAAAGAGGGGTCTAGGGCCGAAACTGGTTTGGCTGAATGGATAGAGCATCAGCCTGTGGACTGAAAAGTACCGGGTTCAATTCCGGTCAAGGGCATGTACCTTGGTTGCGGGCACATCCCCAGTGGGGTGAGGGGGGGGGGGGTATGTGTGTGCAAGAGGCAGCTGATCGGTGATTCTCTCTCATCGATGTTTCTAACTCTCTATCCCTCTCTCTTCCTCTCTGTAAAAAATCAATAAAATAGCCGAGACCGGTTTGGCTCAATGGATAGAGCGTCGGCTTGGGAACCGAAGGGTCCCGGGTTCGATTCCGGTCAAGGGCATGTACCTTGGTTGCGGGCATATCCCCAGTAGGGGGTGTGCAAGAGGCAGCTGGTCGATGACTCTCTCTCATCGATGTTTCTGACTATCTCTCTCCCTTCCTCTCTGTACAAAATCAATAAAATATATATTTTTTTAAAAATCAATAAAATAGAAAAAAATTAAAAATAAAAAGAATGAAAGAGAAAGGGGCCCAGGGCATTTAAGAAGGTAAAATGGGCTGAACCTGGGACTGGGGTGAGGAAGTCCTGGTTCTAGCGTGGAGGACACCAGCTGAGAGAGAAGGTAGGGAGGTCAGATGTGGGCGGGCTAGAGTTTGAGGGCCTGCGCGCAGTCGGGTAAAGGGGCCCCTGACCTGGAGCCAGGTTCAGGGGGTCCCCCCGAGGGGCTGCCTGGGCGTGGCAAGGCCTTCACATGGCCAGTTGCTCCGGTGCCCCATCCGCATGCCTTTCCGAGGAAGCGGAGGGCGCCTTGGGGAAAGGACCAGCCACAGTCTGTGAGAAGACCGCCAGTGCTTACATCAGTAGAAATCATTAAAAACAAACTCATCTGGGATTATGATATATGCAGACATTATCCTGGCTTGGCAACAAACACCAAGCGATCATCGTGATCCGTAACCAGGCGGGTACATCTCGGCATTTATTTTTCATAAACACTTTGATCTTTAAACCACTAACAGTGAGACATTGAGTTAATGTGACACGGTTCTTTTGAAGCCAGGTAATGCCACAGTAATTACCCTTTTCATCAGGAAAATAGACACCTAAGCCAGCCCCGGCTGCATGCTCACCGCGGGTGAGGGTCTGAGCTCACCCTGTGGTCACCCGCCCCAGCGCTGGAGGAGGCGTCGTGCTTGACAGACAGAACCGGGGCCCGGGGCAGGATCTGGTCTGCAGGGTCTCTGTGCTCCAGCGCCCCCTGTGGCTGCCCCTCAGCTTCCGCCTGCAGCTGGCGTCCTCACCTCTGTGCACATGTTGACACATCAGCGCCCATTTGCTTCTGCGGCTTCTGTCGGTCACAGTATCACTCATGCAAATCTGTGTTCTTCTCCAGCCTGTTTTGCTTATAATCATATTTGTTTCTCTCGATAAAAGGTTTCTATAAAATTCCCTTTTCATTAAGTGTTGTTAGAGAGTCCAAGGCTATCGCCAACCTGGTTTGGGGAACACTGTACAGGTGTAACTCATTTTACTGCATTTAGCAGATACAACTTTTTAACAAATTGAAGGTTTGTGGCAACTTCACGCCAAGTGAGTCTTTTGGTGCCATTTTCCAACAGGCTCAGATGAAAGTTAGAGTTTCCAGCAATAAAGCATTTTCAGTGAGGGCGTGCACATTATTTCTGTAGATGTAGTACTATTGCACACTTAATAGACAACTGTTCAGTGTAAACACAACTTTTATAAGCACTGGGGAGCCAAAAACAACACGTGACTCACTGCATTACCGTGCTCTGGCACCAGACCCCCAGCGTCTCCAAGATAAGCCTGAAACATCACTGAATGACAGGACTGAAGCTGTCCCACCTGGGCACATCACGAGAAGAAGGCAGGGATCTAGGGAAAAGATCGTCATGCTGGGGAAATAGAAAGCGATAGTCCACGTAGGAGATGGAGTGACTCCATGAAAGAAGCCACAGGTCTGAGTCTGCGGGAGCTGAGCAGGGCTGCTGAGGACAGGACACTGTGACACCACTCAGTCACCAGGAGTCAGACTCAACGGCACCTACCACACACATGCCTGTGGTCCTGTCACTCAAAGGAATTCCTCATACCCGTAAAGCTGTCCCTCTGTTTTAGGTAGCTGTTGAAATTTTTTTTTTTTTTTAACCATTGCATACTGTTTACCACTGACCCACAGGCCACTAGCTCAGTTAGCATTCTCCACCGGAGTGTGTTAGTCAAGATTCTTTTTGTAACGTCCTGATGACTTTTGTTTGTACAGAGATTTTGCTTATGTAGCAAGAGACAGAGATACCCGGATTTTGAAATGTCATGTATTTCGATGTGACACACCAGCAAAAGCCATTGCCACGAGTCTCCACGAGATCTGCTCCAAGGTAAGGGGGTCGGGGTGCAGGGGCTCCTCCCTCTCTGTCCTCCCTGCTGAGCGGGGAGCGGGGTGTAGGGACGGGAGGGTGGCCCGCTGACCGCACATTGAGCCGCTGGCCCAGACACGGCGCTCTGGGGAGGACACTGGAGATACAGTGTCCTTTGTTCCACGTGGCGTGAAAGCTTGGGCTGGGAAATGAAGATGTGAGTTGCTTTGGGGACCATTGAAGGGGTCCGTCTGTCCTTCCTTCCTTCCTTCCTTCCTTCCTTCCTTCCTTCCTTCCTTCCTTCCTTCCTTCCCACAGCACCATAAACGAGTAAAAGTGATGACTCTCCTATCAGAAAAGAAACCATTTGGAAGACGGCTGGCAGATTTAGACAGTTTGAGAATAACGACGACAGCAGCTAATATTTCTGAGTGTTTACATTTAATCCTAGAACTGACATAACATTATGGTTAGGGACTTAAACATTATCATCCCCATGTACACTGGAGGAAAAGAGACTCACGGGGTCAGGTGACTTGCTCAAGGTCACACAGCAAGGAAGTGGCGGGATTTAAGCCCATGTCCGGTCGTCTCTCCCCTTACCCACGGCTTCATGTTCTGCAGTTTCAGTAGCCCACAGCCAACCTCCATCTGAAAACATTACATGGAAAACTCCAGGAACAAGCACTTCATACGTTTTAACTTGCCCATCACTCTGAGTAGTGTAATGAAATCTCGTGCCATCCTGCCCCATCCGACCAAGACAAGAGTCCTCCCTTTGTCCAGCATATCCACGCTGGATATTCCGCCCACCCATTAGCCACTTGGTCGTCCTGTTATCAGGTCAGCCATCTCGGTATCACAGGGCTTGTGTTCAAGTAACCCTTATTTTTGTTTACTAATGGCTCCAAAGCCATTAGCATAACTTTCATCAATGTATATTGTTATAGTTGTTCTATTTTACTGTTGTTGTTAATCTCTTACCGTGCCTAGTTTATCATGGATATGTATGTAGAGGGGAAAGCAAAGCATTTGCAGGGTTTAGTACTATCCAGGGTTTCAGGCAGGCACTGGGGCTTGGCATGGATCCCTGTGGGAGAGGGGGGACTAATGTGCTTTGTCCCCAGAGCCCTGAACATGGTACCTCAGAGTCATCGCCCAGAAGCAATGGGGGACGCCCACTGCACTGTCCACTGTCCACAGTGGGCCAGCAGGTCCCCACAGGCCAGGGATATTTGTTGTGAGTCGTGTTAGTAACAATGGGCGTGAATGGAAGAATAAATGTCAACTGATTAGGAGACTGTTACTGTGAGGCATATTCACCTCACAGTCCTAGGGAAAAGGGCACAGTTCTCAGAACAGGCAGCTGGTTTAACCTGGAAGTACAGCCAGCTGAGGTACCTGACTGGCTCAAATTGCTGACGGCGAGTTCTGTAGCCACAAGCCCACGCTGTGGTTTCTCTTCTTCAGATTATGGCCGAACGGAAGAATGCCAAAGCCCTGGCCTGCAGCTCCTTACAGGAAAGAACCAATGTGAATCTCGACGTCCCCTTGCAAGGTACCTGCTCTCCGTCCTACTCAGGAACCGAAGGGTCCGGGATGGTCCCCTGGTGCTTCCCATCTCCTTAAAACCTCGCTCACGTCCACCAGCTCATGCTGAGTGGGCCCGCGGGCCCTCACGGCTTTGAGTTGATTTGTGTCAATGGGATTGGGCATAAAGAGCCAAGATAAATTTTGTTGTTGAACAAGATTAATAGATTTTATCCTTAATGGTTTCCTACCTCATCTACAGCCTGGGTAAGGACTAGCTAGCTAGAAAATATGTAGGTTGATATTTGGAGGGGTTCTGTTTAGTTATTTTCCCTGATTGCGCCCTTTCTGATTAAATTTTCTCTGGGCGTCAACCACACCTACATACTGGACATCAAAGAGACAATGACAACTTTAACACATAGATTCCAGGTCCTGCTTTTTTTTTTTTTTTTTTTTTTGCTTTTTTTTTTTTTTTTTAATTCCAGAAAGGAAGGGAAAGGTAGAGAGAGATTGATTCTCGATCGGCTGTCTCCTGCACACCCCACACGGGATTGAGCCCATAACCTGGGCATGTGCCCTGACCAGGAATCCAATAGGGACATCCTTCCTGGTTCATAGGGAGATGCTCAACCACTGAGGCAGGCCGGCTGGGCTAGGTCCTGCTTTCAACTGTGTCTGTGCCTGGGAAATGGAAGTTGAATGGGATTTTGATTGACAGAGCCCCAGCGTCTCTGTTCTTAGAGAGCGAGGGCCTCGTTTACCTCCAACAACGGAGGACAGTGTGGCACCGGGAGTGTGTTGCAGATGGCACAGGGTGATGCTGTGCTGACGTGTGTGTGTTGGAACCACAGAAAGATGTGCTGCTCTTGTTCCCTGCAGTAGATTTCCCGACACCAAAGACCGAGCTGGTGCAGAAGTTCCACGTGCAGTACCTGGGCATGTTACCTGTGGACAAGCCAGTCGGTACGTGAGGCGAGTCTGTCTTTCCACCTGCAGGTGTGGGGGAGCTCGGGGGAGGGTCCGCCCTCCCGTAAGGGTGGGTCTGCTGTTTCAGCCCCTTTCCTTGTCTTGAATCAGGCCCTTGCACTGTCACAGCCAGAGCACACAGTCAGTCCTGATCGAAAGAGCGGGGAGGACAGGCTAAGCCCCTTGGTCCCCGGAACGCAAGGACATTGATAAAGCGGCACCTGTCTCATTTCGCAGCATTCCTGAGAAGCATGATCCAGGGCTTTGCTGCTCTCCAGGGGCTTCCGTCTCGGGCCCGGGCGCCTGCTTCCCTCCTTGCCACCTGGGTGCCAGCGGGGAGGGCTGGGGGAGCCCTCATGCTTTCCCTTCAGGCTGTGGCTGAGAAGCAGCGCACACAGCGGTCAGCTCACACCCAGGGAGGGCCTCGCTGCTCGGCCATAAGATGCTGAGAGGCGGCGGGAGGTGCCCCCTGGCCCGGATGGACCCTCGTACTGCTGGGGTGTAAAACCCTGCGCTGCTTGGGGAAATGGTCTGGCAGGCATGGAGTCCCCGTTTGACCCAGAATTCCTAGGCACGTACTCTGGTGAAATGAAAACATCCGTCCTCTCAGAAATGTGTCTGTGGATGTTCACAGCAGCATTGTTGTAACGATCAAAAAGTAGAAACAGGCCAGATGAACATCAGCTGACACGTGGACAAATACTGCCGGGCAGAGGGATCTTCCTTGGCGAGGAGGAGGGGTGGCGCGCTGGCACACGCTGCCTGCCACGTGACGAGCCTGGACCACATGTGCGACATGTGAGAAGCCAGTCACAAAGGCCCACATGCTCTGGCTCCATGTGTGGGCAATGTCCAGACCAGGCAGTCACTTAATTTCTAGGACTAGGGGGCTGGGAGGCCATGGAGGGTGACTTTTATGCTACAGGTTTCTTTGTGGACTGATGAAAATTTTCTAAAGTGGGCTGTGGTGATGGTTGCACAACTCTGAATATAGAAAAAAAATTTAATTATACATTAAAAAAATTATTTTAATCCTCACCTGCGGATGTTTTATTAATTTTATTTTATTTTTTAAAATCCTTATCCAATAATATTTTTCCATTGATTTTTAGAGAGAGTGGAAAGAGTGGGGAAGAGAGGAGAGAGAGAAACTTCTACGTGAAAGAGAGACATTGACTGTTTGCCTCCTGCAAGCATCCTGACTGAGCCCAAGTTGGGGATTGAACCTGTAACCCTTTGATGCACAGGCCAATGCTCTCACTACTGAGCCACACTGGCCAATCTAGGTGTGTGCCCTGACCAGGAGTTGAACCCACCGTCTTTCAGTGTGTGGGACGACGCTCCAACCAACTGAGCCGCACGGCCTGGGCTGAATTAGACACTCTGAGTGAGCGACTTGTCTGTTAATGTGAATTATATCGAGTAAAGTTGTTATTCCGTTCCCCTCCAAAAAGCAGCTGTGGGAACTCCCAGGAAAAGTGCCCCATTGAACAGCTCCTGCCCCTCTGGTAAAGGTGCCGCCCTGCGTGGCCTTGTTGAAGCAACAATGTAAATGGTGGCTTCTGTGGGGTCCCCTTTCCAAAGCTCTGTGCTTAGGAAAAGGTGGCATTTGCTTGAGTCCTGTCTATACAGCCAGGGCCGGGGAACCTTGAGAGAGAGAGAGGGGGGCATGTGGTCTGATCAGACAGGGCGTCGCTCACTACATCTCCGATGTCTCCTGACCCTTCCTGTGGAAAAGGCTGGCATCTTATTTTTTTAAGCAAACACGAGAAATGAAATGTCTTCTGGGGCTACAAAAAAAGAACCGCCTGGGTGCAGCTGGTCCTGGGTGATTGGCCCCACATTTATGAGTGATACATAGCTATAGGGCCTTTTTTTTTCTTTTCTTCTTTTTTAAATATATATTTTATTGATTTTTCACAAAAGGAAGAGAGGGAGATAGAGAGTTAGAAACATTGATGAGAGAGAAACATCGATCAGCTGCCTCTTATACACCCCCAATTGGGGTTGTGCCCACAACCAAGGTACATGCCCTTGACCGGAATCGAACCCGGGACCTTTCAGTCCACAGGCCGATGCTCTATCCACTGAGTCAAACTGGTTTCAGCTCTAGGGCCCTTTTCAGTGATTCCTTCAATCCACGCAGGAATGGACACCCTGAACAATGCCATAGAAAGTCTAATGACCTCGTCCAGCCAGGAGGACTGGCCGTCCGTGAACATGAGCGTGGCCGATGCCACTGTGACGGTCATCAGTGAGAAGGTGAGAAGGATCGCGCATGCCCTTGGCCTGTCGGGGTGACACTGGGGTTTTGGACACAACAGTCTTCCGTGGAACTTAGGTACCTAGGAGGGCTGTAGCTCTGGGGAGCTGTGCTTGCTTGTGATAAAAATAGCCTCCATTTAAAAAAAGATTTGCCCTTTGCGTCTGGGTGTCTGCACACCTTTGCTTCCATTCCGGTGCTCCTGCTTCCTTCTTCCTCATCTGCCACAGAGTGAAGTGAACTCATTAGCTGGCGGTGCCTGGAAGGCACTAGCAGCATGGCACGGGTGGTTGGGTGTTCTGGCCGGTCCCTCTCGGCTCCGGTGGCGAAGGGGCCTTGTTTCTGGGGTGGGGAGGGTGGGGGGCAGGAGAGGCCCCCACTGTCGGGGATCCTGCGGTCTGGTGGTAGCAGGGCCACTGGTCATGTTGAATGAGGCCGGCATTCGCCTCCACTCACATTATCCCAGCCTCGTGGCGGGAGAAATGGAAGCGCACGGAGGTTAGGGAGCTGCCCGAGGCCACAGAGCTGGAAGCGGCAGGGTCAGGACTGAGCACAGGCAGGCTGGCTCCGGACTCTCACCTCTGCCTCCGTGAGACAGCGGCAGGGACAGACGCACATCCTCGGCAGCTCCTCTGTCCTCCAGCGGGTCACCTTCAGCCCACTTCACCTTCTAATGGAGAGGAAGATGCTCCCTGAGCCTGCCTGCCTCTCCGGCGCTGGATTCTCTTCGGTCTCCAAACGGGTCTCCCCTGCTCCTGTGCTCCACGCCTTTGCCCACCGAATTTCCACTTGATCATAATTTCTCCCCAGAAAACTCCCAGGCCTCCCAGACTGCTACAGAGATCACGAGCAGTCAAACAATGCAGGAGAGTTTGGAGAGATTCACTTTGTTCACCGCGGTAGGCTCAGAGAAAATGAATTCAAATTCTAAGCAAGGCTACAAGCAGAACTTCCCTTTTTATTAAAGAGCCAGCCCTGTGTGTGCTGAGTGGTTCTCTCGCTGCTGGCCTCGAAAACAACACCGTTCTCTCCAATTAAAAAATGCACCTGGCATGGCATTGAGAGTATGGGCGACTCTCGTCTCGGACCTACAGGGTCAGACAGCTAAGTTTATCTTCCTCATTATTCAAGCAGGCTAAAGCAGACTAGAAAGCAAACATTTTTTTTTTTAGAATAAGAGGCCGTCTAAGAAAAACAGCTGAAAATTCCACACAGCAGTTTTTACAAAATAGGGGTTTTCCTTCGCAATTCTGGCTCAGGTGGGCTGTTAATCCCACAGCACCTGCGTGAATGCTTAGTACGTCAAGGTGCTAACGGCCCACCGGTCATTGGGCTGGTTGTGTTCACTAATTTCAGCGTGCATGTGGTTGCTGCTGGGAAGGGCGTGGTATTCGTCAGGATGTATCCAAACCTTCCTTCTCACGGCATCCCATGGATACCAGCGTGTGAGAGAGAGAGGACGATTTGGAGACTTGCTGTTGTACGTGGTTTAGGGTAGAATGTGACTCGGCGTGCCATGTGGCTGGGGAAGATGACCTGGATGGAGACAGGTCCCGCGGTTCCTTCTCTCTGGGGGACTCGGGGTTTCCAGTAGGTTCACCAGAGCAGATGGGCTTCGAGCCCCTGGGTGGCCTGTGGGGGGAACATGTAAGAAGATGCATGACACCGCCCTGCTCAGGGAGCGCCCAGGCTTGGAGCATGTGCGCAGGGAGTGGCACACACACCTCTGTTGTGAGCAGTTCAGAGCGAGATGAAATGCCAGGATGAGACACCCTCAGCAGCGATGGCCTTTCCAGCCCCTGGGGGCATGTGCTTCCTGCATTCAGCCTGGCTGCGTATTTTGAGGTGGCCACCCTAAGCTTGGATCTCTGGTTGAGGGTCTGGACGTGTTTGTGCCGGCCTCCCGGCTCCCCGAGAGCGGGCCGCTGAGCGGTGTGTCTTGCAGGATGAAGAGGAGATCCTAGTGGAGTGCCGCGTGCGGTTCCTGTCCTTCATGGGCGTCGGGAAGGACATCCATACGTTTGCCTTCATCATGGACACGGGGAACCAGCGCTTCGAGTGCCACGTGTTCTGGTGCGAGCCCAATGCCGCGAACGTGTCCGAGGCGGTGCAGGCCGCCTGCATGGTGAGTGCTCCCGCTGCGGGGACGGGTTCGCCCGCACGCCCTGCTCATGTAGTCTGTTCCGTAAATCGGAGCAGAGTCCCTGATTTAAAAGGAAAGGAGTCTAATCTCAAAAGTAATGCTTTCCCTGGGTAACACTTTCATTCTTGGGGGCAGAATCAATTGTGACAGTCAATTTGCCATAACGGGGGGCGAGGGCACCTGCAAGAAGCAGGGCCGGATGCAGCCAAATTCCATCGAGATTCCCGGAACGTTGGAATGGATGATCTTTGAAACCACGAGTCTGAGGATTCTCAGTCCTTAGTCCCTTACTAATTTCAGGGTGTGATCAGGAAGTGTTGGTCATGCATGAGTTGGTACTGTTTTGAACCGACTCGGTACTTTAAAAAAAAACTTAGTGGATTGAATGATTTTTATTTCAGAGAGTTGGTTTATGGACACTGTTCTTACATATTTTACTTTTTTTAATATATTTTTTTATTGATTTTGTACAGAGAGGAAGGGAGAGAGATAGAGAGCTAGAAACATCAATGAGAGAGAGTCATCGATCAGCTGCCTCTTGCACACCCCCTACTGGGGATATGCCCGCAACCAAGGTACATGCCCTTGACCGGGATCGAACCCGGGACCCCTCAGTCCCCAAGCCAACGCTCTATCCATTGAGCCAAACCGGTTTCGGCTACATATTTTATTTACTTCGTGTCTGTGAACTCAGTCCTTACAACAACCCTGTTAGGCAGTTGTTAGTTGTCTTATTTATGAGAAGACAGGCTCAGAGGAAAGAAGGGGGCCCTGGGCTCAGAGCTGGCGAGAGTCTGCGTTCAGTCCCACCTGCCCTGGGTACCAAAGCCCAATGCTCTTCGCATCTTGTATGATTTCACACAAACAAAAACACTTTGTCATTCAAAATTACTTCGAGCACCAGTGATGCTGGCACTGAGAAAGTTCTAGTAAAAGACCAGGGATTGTGTGAATGTGGGCATCCAAACCTGGAGCGTGGTGTGTCCTAGCAACAACAGGCTGGGGCGGGGGAGCCAAGTGGAAGGACGCAGGGTCCGAATGGTGAAGTGCCCGTAATGCTGTGCCAGAGCTGATCTTCAGCAAAGATTGGGTTGACCGCAGTAGGTTTTTAAAGTGGACTCGAGAGCAAAAGAAAAGAAAACAACGCGGAAGACGGTTGGGAGGAGGAATCTGGGGTGGGGACGTCAACCAGGAAGCCAGGTTGCTGGTCCAGATGTGGGTTGCAGAGCATGGAAACGAGGAGCAGGTGGCCTGGCAGGCGTTGTGGAGAGTCACATGATTGGAGGGGTTGTGGGGCGGGGAGGGGGCGCGAAGGAGATTCTGAATTTGAAGGACCTGGGCTTCATCCAGTGCAACCCACCTCTTATGGGCTGGACTCTGGGACATTCAGGTGGGACTAAGAAAGCATCCTGGCATTATGGGATTGAGGGAAATGAACTGGTACAGCCGATGGAGTCATACAGGTAGGAGGTTGGGGCAAGGTCTTGGTGGTACATTAAGAGCCTGGGGAGGGGCTTAGCCTGCTAATCGGGTTGGAGCAGCGATTTTCAACCTTTTTCATCTCATGGCAACACAACCCAATAACAAATTCTGTGGCACACCCAAAAATATAAATCTGGCCATCTGACAAAAAAAGAAATAGGTATACTTTTGATTCATTCACACCAGATGGCTATTGTTGTGTTGACTGTTGTCCTTTTTTTTGACACTCTTAAGGGAAAAGAGGTCAGTGCCCCTGACTAAATAGTCGGGTATTGCATGTTTTTAAAATCCCTGTGGGACACTGGGTGAAAACTGCTGGGTTAGAGGGACTTTGAGTCGGACCAGAAGATGCCAAGAACACAAGAGTAAGCGGGCTTAGAGAAGTTGAGGGAGTCCCGTGGTTGCCCATGCAGCGTGTTGCCAGGTGAAGCATGAGGGGGAAGAAGTGCGGTGGATGGCAGATGACAGAGGTGGGGAACAAGAAAAGAGCTGATTGGCTTTTATCATAAAAGACCCCTTTGAAGTGGAGAGGGGCGGATGGGGGAGGGAAGGGAAGAGCTGGCTTCCTTCTTACCACGGTCCTTGGTCAGAACCAAGTCGCCCTGGTTCTGTGGAGCCAGGATTAGGCATATGAAGGAGCAGGGCCAGGCGGGGGAAGCTGGGGAGCGGGAAGAGGCGAGATGAACCTCGTGACGGGGCGTGGGAGGCTGAGAGGGGATGCAGGGACCATGTGGAGAAGAGAAAAGGTGGAGAGTTCAGCCGAGCAAAAATGGAGGGTGACTGTTTAGGTCTGTCATGAAACGGAAAATGATCGTAACAGATGGTTGTAGTCATAAAATGAATAGCTTTCCGCCTTAATTATACATTTCAAATGCCAACGGCAATTAAATAATTAGCTTTATCACTGGTTACAGTTTGTTTCCTGATTCCCAGGCCCATTTTTCTGTCTTCGAAGCAGTTTTTTTACTCATTTGCTCGCTACTTGAATGCCATTAGGGCAGCCGCTGGAGAGGTTCCGCCAGTCCTGTATGAGGCCCGTTGATAAAATCAAACCTTATACGCCAAAACCAGCGTCCTGAATCACATCTGTATGCTTCCCCGTCTGAAATATCTGTGCATGAGTCTGCACCATCTGAGATGAACTGTGGCGTGAACACATTCTCTTGAATCTGCTTAATTTTTATGCAAATTTTGCAGCTGTGTGATACAACCTAGCCGAAAATATTTTGGTGAAATTTAGAATAAGGCGTAGAGAGATAGGGGCAGTTTTGACTTGCGCTGGAACTGCCTAATTTGCATTAGGAACTCCCGGTCCAGTCTACCATGTGCCACAGCTACCCGTTAACAACGCCGAGTTCTCAGAGTGTGTAGTCTGGATTGTGGTGCAGACCTGGCGGGGACCTTACACAGAGGAGACACGCAGTGACTCCTTTTTGGTGCGTTTGGGTTGGAAGGGACTGGTTTTGAGGCCTGCGGGCTGTGACACACTGTGGCCCAGAGTCTTGCTACAGATAGTTTATGCTTCTCAGGGGGGTGGGGGACAGGCATCAGCCTGTTTCACACTGTACAAGGGAATTATTCATGTTTTTTTTAAGTAGGTTTTTAAAACCCAGCCATGGATTTATTTTCAAGTGCCAGGATGGGGGGGGGGGGGTGGATAAATTTTAACCTTTTAATTTTTAAGAATTACCTATCTTTGTATAATAAAAAAGCAGATGGATCATGCTGTTATATTTCTTTCTGAAGGATAAGAAACTGTCTGTGGTGCCAGGATAATGGGTTCTTTAATTAAACCATTAAGGTTTAGGCTTACATGAGACTTGTAAAGCTTAGACTTGCTCTTCGACGATGAGATATGTGAATTGCAGCTTGTCAGTATAGAGCACAAGCAGAGGGAGGAGCTGGATGGAGGAAAAAGATGGCAAAGCCAAAGCATCTTTGTCAAGCCTCAGGATCTGTTAAGGACATTTAAAACACTCCACTTAAAGAAAAAGTTACTGGACTCTCGCATTCACGTTTAGGAGCGAGGCCGTTAACTCCGGGGAGTAGATGTATCAGTGATGAACTAAAACCACACCCAGCAAGAAGGGAGGGTACGTTACTAACGGCCACCAACCCTGTTTCGTTGCAGCTGCGATACCAGAAGTGCTTGGTCGCCAGGCCGCCCTCCCAGAAGGTCCGGCCGCCGCCTCCGCCCGCGGACTCGGTGACCAGACGGGTCACGACCAACGTGAAGCGCGGGGTCTTGTCCCTCATTGACACTTTGAAACAGAAGCGCCCCGTCACGGAAACGCCGTAGCCGCTGAAGGATGCCCAAGGGCCCCGCCACCTCCCCCCCAAGATCCAGCGGCCACCCCGAAGAACACGGACTGTCCCGGCCTTCCCGTTCAGTCGCTGATGCTTTGTCTTCAGAAAACGTCTCCTTCGCCGAACAGTGTTAGACAAGCATGTTCTCTCGTCTTGCCACCATCACGTGATAATGAAAAGAAGCATGACTAATTTTTTTGCTGTAAGTTACATCACGAGCCGTGGAAGGTCTTTTTCTTATTGTACATATCGTGAACATGATTAACTTCACACACACACACACACACACACACACACGCACACACACACGCACACGCGGGGAAGAACGTGGCCACACCCCTCCCTCCTCCGAACTGATGCTGAGTCCTCGGCGGGAGGGACGCCCGGATGGCGGTGTCCGGGCAGCGTCTGTCCTGAGCAGCGCTGCACCCTACAGCTTTGTCCTGTATTCACCTCTGGAGAAGACACTGTGTCCCAGACACCACTGAGATGCTGTAAAAATAGGATGGTTTTTAGTTAAATTCGTAAAATCGGACCTTTCCGTTGTCGACATTGGCTGTTGGCGTCAGAATGGAAGCCGACTGGCCGCTCTCCTTGACGAGCTCGACACGTGGACACCGTCTCTTGTCTGCAGCTGGTTGTGGGGTGTTGGGGGGCGGGGGGGTGTGACTTCACAAGTGAAAACAAACCAAATGTCAGAAATTAAAATCGAACAAAAATAGCCTTTCTTTTCAGGTGGCTTTCAAACCGATTAAGGAAAAAAAAAAAAAAAAAAAGGTAACATCATAATGCATTTTGGGTGGGACATGTTCAAACTTCTGCCTTATATTGTACAATGCAGCTAGAGAATTATAGTTCCCTATGGCCATTCTCTGCATAAACGGCATTAAAATGAAGTATTCCTCGTAAGCCTTTTGTCCTTAGTTTGCTAATTAGCCAATATGCAATTTGGAGTCGAGGAAATGCCATTTATATTTTATATTGTTACCACACGTTATTTTGTTAGCCCACCTCCTAACTAACGTCTGCTAGGGTTCCGCCTCTGGCTCAGTCTTACCCTAATGCTTTTTGCCCAGAAAGCTGTCTGTCCATCATGTATTTTCCATGGCAACAAAGTACATTAAGTTGAACCTTTCTTGGATTTATGTCTTCACTATCCGAATGTGTTAGACCCCACTAGCTATATTTTTTTAATTTCTTTTTTTCCATTATATTTTCAAGATTTAAAAATTTCCTATCAGAGCAAAATCTACATAAGGACCATGTACTATTCAACAAGTTTCCCAAAACTAATGCTTTCCTCCTCTCTCTATAAGTGTGAAACTTAGCTGTAAGTCACAGTTTTAGACCCTTGTTAACATTGTTTTAAAATTAATTTGCTAATGAGATCAATCCAAACATTCGTCTTACTTTTTAATGTCAAAATTAACATTTTACAACACCCAGTGATAAAAGTAACTGCTTTCTGTATTATCCCCTGCTATGTGCTTGTCATATGGTTTCCACATCCTTATCACACTTGAGCCTTATAAGGTAGAGAAGGTACTAAACACATTGGAGAAATAAAAACATGAAGTACCGAGACGCTCAGACTCCAAGCCTGATGTCTGGCCAAAGTTGGTGAGAAAACCAGGACTAGGACCCAGGCTTTCGCTCCCATGCGTAGGCTATGCTGCCTCCTCACCAGCCAGAGCATCTTTACACGCTGGCTCTGGGCACGCCCAATGTGGCCAGGAAATCGTAGCATTCCCTGTAGAAGTGGGAAATGTGGCGGACTTCCTCTCGCTAGTATGAATTATAAAACCCTTGCCTTCTCAGTCCAGGGCTGTCCTGCAGGATGCCTGCAGGGTGAGGACAGAATCCCAGGCCATTTCCCAGAGATGACGTTATGGAAGGTGGAGAACGTCCTAATCCACGCAGCTTAGCCACCAGAGAGCATGGGATGAGGAGTGGCCTCCTGCCTCTGTTATGACAGAAAAAGATGCCCCTCTAGAAATGAATTCTACTTCTCACCAGCCTCCATGCTTCTATCTCAAGTAACCAATACCGTTTTCAGAAATGATTGCATTCAGAAAATCCATACTGTGCCCTTTGAAAGCTTTTCAAATTCAGTCGTGATCCTCTTTCATCTTGATTTCCACCATGAAACGTTTTAGTATGATAAACTTCAAACTTCATCCACGAATCCACTTTTATATTAGAGATCTCTACCAGAACCCTGTGTTCATTTTTTTTAAGGCATATGTTTATTTACAGGATCAGGCATACTGAGCTAGCTTTAAGTAGCAAACTGATTTATATATGCAATTATAGGATACATTAAAATGAATGATAGCCTTTACATATTGAAAACTTTACTGCAGATACTTTGTTTTGATGGTAGCTTTGCATACTAAATGTGGTTAATTTTGTAAAGTTAATTATGTTAGATAGTATGTTCAGACACTTTCTGCCATGGCCAAAAAGTATATATGAAAGTGTGTGTGTTTTTCTGTGCAGGGACACCAGTGTTTGACATGATGTTGTAGCAACACTCTGTTTATCTATGCATTCTTTATGTCCTTCGGTAAGCAGGCAGCCATGTTCACTATGCCTTGTATGTCTTCTCATTTTTTTAATTAACCTGTTAAATACAGCTTAAAATATTTTTATTTATTCTATTTTTACTGAAATATACTGCATTATTGTGTTAATGTATTATCTCTACTGGATATTATCTTACAATGTATCCAGGTCTACGTAATCTCAGTGAACTATTTGTTGCCTAAAAGGTGGTTTTATAATTATTTGTAGTCACAATTTTATTGGAATATGTAGATGAAAAGGCAAAATGTTCAAAGCTCATTTTATTTTTTAAAAGCAGCTAGACAGACACAGACTTGCCACCTCATATATGTGCTCGTGGGTGGTATCAAAGGGAATGGCCAACATGCCTAGGGCTCGAGTTTTTACTTTGCATAGCACTGCTCAGTGCTGCACTTTTCTATCACAACACGTGTGATCTCCTCCGGAAGAGACACATGTCCACGCCTTTGTTTCCACCCAGAGCTCATTATAACCATTGTTTTTTGTTTGTGTCTTACTGCATGAAGGGACATTATTCTCATTTCCATTAAAATAAGTTCTTGGTGATAACCTGCTGGCACTGCTACTTTTTTAAAAAATTCACTTTATGACTTTATGATCGACATTGGTAAGATGATTCTACAGAAAGTCCTTTACTACCATAGGAGCCCTAAAGCTTTTTCATTTGACACACTCGCTTTTGCAAGCATTGCAACACATTCAGGATTCACACTCAACTTGGAAAACGTTTCCCTGGTATTAGCACAATTCAGTGAAGCCACTTGCTCTCTGGTTTGCCAGACTGACCCTACCTCACAGCTGCAGGTTGTCACACAGCAGCAACATGAGGTGGATTTCAGCTGCAGGGGAACGTACTGCTCACACTTTATCGAGAACTCTCCCAAAGCAGCTTATTTATCCTGAAAGAACATTTGGTTTTGCTTTCTTGCCCACTTACTGTTGACCACTTTTACACATTTAAATGTAATATGTTGTGAGAATAAACTTAGCTGCATAAAGTTTTTGGCTCATTTATCTGGCATGTCAGTCACATAATTGCAGAAATACTAATATAAGTTCTCCACGCTAGTCATTTTATTTCAGATTATTACCTCAAATTAAAAATCATCTCAGCCCAGCCGGTGTAGCTCAGAGGTTCAGTGTTGACTTATGAACCAGGAGGTCACGGTTTGATTCCTGGTTAAGGCATATGCCCCTGGTTGTGGGCTTGATCCCAAGTATGGGGTGTGCAGGAGGCAGCACATCAAAGGTTCTCCTCATTGATGTTTCTCCCTCTTCCTTTTTGGAATCAATAAGATCAATAAGAATACATATTTAAAAAATCATTTCAGCAATGTCACATTCAGCTTTGTTTAGTTACTTCATATTTCCATCTGGTAAGAACTAGAAAGAACCTGACATCAAAGAATGAAGAGCAGAGTTGTACAGGCACTAAATCCCAAGTCAAAGGTAACTAGAAAAACAAACACGTTAAATCTGGCTTAGTTTAAGTGTTAGACTTGTGGAAGAAGGAAACAGAATTTAAATATGTTCCCATTCTATGCTCATCTTGCTTTTCCCCCAATAGTTTATCTCTTACTCTTATCAAAGGCAGTTACTCTCAAGGAACAAAATTTCATTTTGGTTTCAGGTATTATGTAATGGTAAGTTGAGATAAAAATCTGAATTTGCTATTGGAATATCTAAATACAGCATTTAGATTTTTGCAACACCTTTCTCTAGGAACTTCAAGAAAGAAAAATGTCAATGTTTAATTCTCCTTACTACAATTCTCAAATATTGTTTTAATCCCAGGTACTTTTCCTTTTTGACTCTACCACAATATCTAAATAATTGATCATGCCCTTCTTAGAAGATTCTCAGAGAAACCTGCAGGCTTAGTGAATGGTTTAATCAGGATCTCCATGGACTTCCAAAGAGAAGAATGATTCAGAGGCAGGTGCATGTTACTCGATTCTGAATGCAAGCGCCTAAAGTGACGACGTGAATCATGCTGTGACAGAGATCAGGAAAATATCCTGAACTATTTCCTAACAATGAGTTTTCTTCACATAACTTACCACAGGAACCTCAGACCTGCTGCTTTCCAGCCTGGGGCAGAGGGCAGAGGCTGGGAAAGAGAAGATTCCTGGGATAAAATACCAGCTCTTTACCAAAGTTCAACTCAGCTGCCCTGGCCTCCCAGAGGCATGGAACACTCTAAGCTAGATGGAATAAGAGTGAAACACTATAACTTTTAGAGCAAAGAAACACATAGTTTTTAACTATTGAAATTAATGAAGTAAGTTGAGCATTTAAAATATTTGTACATTGTAAGAGTCATTAACATGGGAATTCTTTTGATATTGAAAATATCTGGTTCAAATATAAAAAGTTTTGTTTCCTTCCTTCATTGATACATTTTACTGATATATGTAAACCTTCAGCTAAAATAAAAATAATTTACTGCTAAAATGATATTCACCATTTTTCATCCTCACTTCAAGTGAGAAAATAAAGAATAGAGCATTAGAGTTGAAACAAATCTAAACATTCATCTGGAAGTGGTTATATTCTATAAAATCATGGCGCCTAAATTGAACATTCAGAAATTTACATAACACTGTTCAACACAACTGGATTCTGAAAATAGAACTTTAAATTCAAACTTTATGAATGTGTCTATGAACATTTTTTGAACAATAGGATTTGTAGGTGTAATTTATTCCACTTAATGTCAAGCAATTTCTTTTGCCATGATAGGGGAAAAAATTGATAGACCCAGAAATGATAATCATACCAATTCTTGGTAGACAATTGATCATATAGTCAAGATTAATTGATTTTTAATATAATTAACAAATTACTATATTTTCATTGTGCATTAGAAATGATTTACCAAAATTTGATTACTGTGTGCCATTTGACATGACTCGTAGATTTCAATATTTGATCTTTGAATAGAATCAAATTGTTATGGGTTTCTTCAACAATAGATGTCACTTGTATTTAACAATTTGCCTCTTCCTCAGAATTGTTACTATTTAGATGGAAGTTAGCTTTAGTCACTTTTTTACAATCTTATTTGGCATACATAGAAGGGAGGGCTGATTATGTCCCATCTGCTCAATATCCTGGAGGCTCTTCCAGTGAGAAATAGTGCTCACTCTAACTGGACATCTGAACTCCCCACACCTGGGACTTCGGAGCTTCCTGTCCTTCCTACTCAGACAACCTCCATCAAAACTCACGTCAGCCCTGACTTGATGGATGTTTTGATATTTAAGAAAAAGTGAACCTTGATCGTGACTAAAAATGTTAAACTACGCCTGACTAGACACTGAAGAGCAATCTAAAGTCGGTGAGGGGCCAGCGTCTTTTCCACACCTGCGCTTTCTAATAAATGGCCTCAAAAATTAAGTTAGGAAAAAAGCCTGTGAATAAGGCAGAGCTACCCTCCAGGAGAAACTGTTGTAGCTTTCTTTTCAAAGTGGTGTCATAGGTCCCCACTGAAAGTAAGAGTGAGACAAGTTCTAACAGCTGCTGGGTCTACACGTGCCCATTCTAGAACATCAGCACTGAGATGGCGAAATCTCTGAGTTTTGTTTTGCTTAGCCACCTACAGGACCATGTTGTCTCACTTGTCTTAATTCCCTTAAAGGTAATATCACATGTAGAAGATACTAATGACTGAAAGGATGAGTATCTTATGTAGGGATATCTAACATTCAGAGAAATATCAGGCTGGAAAAAAAAAAAAAAACTGTAGAAAAACACCACCACACATACAAGACAGTCAAAGCCACGGTCGACGATGTCTCAGTAGAGAAGAAGGTAAGTTTCTTTTAGGCTTTTCCGCTTTTCTGGGTACCAATGGTGTGGAATGGTAGCAGGGCATAGTAGTTTTGGGAGCAAACCAACCATAGTAAAAATGTTGAGTTGGTATATGAGGTCTGATTCCTGGGGGAGGCGATGATGGGAACATCACTGGAGGCAAAACAATCTCTACGGGTTTCAGTACAACCATCTTGTCTTCCGGGCGAGGTCTTACGAGGTTTGAGGGACGTTCGTAGGGTCTGGGGAGAGATGGGTTCTTCATAAATGCAGGCACCAAGGGATTGGCGGCAGGCTTGGTGGGTTTTCTGACCTGTAAGGAAGAAGCCACTGGAATTGTACTTTTTGGTAGAGGAGATATTTTTGTTGTAGTTGGCTGTAGTGGCCGCTTAGCATTTGCATTAGTTTCTCGGTTCAGGAACTCGGCAATTTTCGTTTGAATGCCTTTACTGTCAGTTGTGGGAGCTTTGGGCAATGCTGTTTTTGATTTTTTCTTCTTTTCCCGTTTTGAAGATTTACCCAACTCAATTCCCTCCAGGAGACCCTTCGCTGCAGCGCGGGCCAAAACATCTTTCACAGACACCGTCTCCGACGGGTCCCGCTGCAATACAGAAGCAGGTGCTAAATGTGGGGGTCGATTTCGTGTGTATATTACAAGTACTTATCAGTGTTTCAGAAGAAGTAAGAGAGTACATTATACTAAAAGAAATGGTTTTTAGGCCTTAGTCTCTAATATATCCCATAAGCCTCAGCAAATGACTTCTGTAATTAAATTTCCTCATTTATGATGGGGGAGGAAAAAGAATGACAGAGCTTATTTCTTATATATGAAATAAGATGAACTAGGTGTTGACAAAGTGCATGGAGAAGCGGGGATGGAGAGCAGGCAAGAGGAACACTCAGGAGAAATATAAAGATAAAAACAGGCTTTTTTTTTTTTTTTTTTTTTTTGCCACGTAGTAATAATTCTTATTCCTGCCCTTTAGCTATTTATAAAATAAGCACACCGTTTCAAGATGCTCAGAGACTTCCTGAGGATTTGTTTCCTTACCTCCCTTGTTAGGACAGAAAGAAAACAACCATTGGTAATTTCAGATGGCTCCATTCTGAAGAATTTATCAGCAGACAAATGTACTTCCTTTCGGGTACACAGTGGAAGGACAGGAGGGCTAAGCCTGCAGGAGACAGGAGCAAACAGTCCTAGTAAAGTATAATTTGCCAATGGAGGGAGAGAGTAAACTGCAACAAGTTTTCTTCTGTTATGTTTTGCCAGTCATTTAAACATAAATCCCAAGTTAGGATAAAATACTGAAATTGTACAATACAATTTTAAACTGTACAATAATTTTAAAACCATAATATTTCGTGTTTACTCATAATTTAGTCTACTTCACAAGTTCTTCACCTTTAAAAAACACTATGCCAAGAATACCAACCTTTTAGCAAATTAAAAACTTTCCCAAGTCAATATGTTAATACCAAAAAAGGGTCCCATAATCAAAACAGGTTAATATGTAATCACACAAAAAATCCTTTACTTCCACATGTTGTCAAACTACACAAGGTATGACTTCCTTCTTTTAGTTGCCTTTTGCACAATTACAACATAAAAATTTGGTCTAGCATTTTAACTACATTATTTTTCCCAATAACTTTTTTTAGTATTAATGGATGAACTATGTAGTGTCCAAGAAAGTACATAATAAAAACTTCATATCAGAAATAAAAAATTCTAATTACTAAAGTTTAAAATACAATTTTGATTTTTGTATTTAATAATTTCTTATTTACTAGTAAGTGGTTCATTCATAAATAATAAATAATTCTTATATTTCCATACTTTTACAATTAAAATTTATTTAACCAAGGCAATAAATACTTTTCACATATATTAAAATATCAGAAACTCTTAATAATTTTGTCTATTATATTCTGAGACTTAAAACCATTTTAAAGGGCTGTCGCTACAGCCAACAGAGAAAGTGCCTCCTGGCCTGTGTGTGGCAGACAGGAGAGTTTCTGGTTGGATTTTGTAGTTATTTTATAGAAGTGAAAATAAAGGATTTTGTAGTATGGGAATTAAGAGTTGGCTCAAAGTGACCATTCCATAAATTGAATGATGATCTGTACCCCTGGGGGGGGGGGAAGGGGGGCTGGAGGGGGGAAAAGAAAAACACATTTTAAATGTATATGTATTAATGATTTGCCTACTGTGCAAAGCACATAAATGTTAATTTCATAAATGGTTTACAATTTAATTGTAGACTCTAATCAGTTCACCATATAAAGAACCACAAATAAGAATGCTGAGCAAACTAGAGACAATTACATGGTAATACAGAATAAAATACAATCAACTCCGGCCACGGAGACATCAAATGTGAAGATTTCACGGAAGTAGCAGCCTTGGTGCTATATCTATTATAAAGAATATTCCAATAAGGTAAGGACGGTGATTCTAGACAGAAAGGAGAACGTGAAAATGTCTGGTTGGGGAATGGCAAGTGTTTCCATATGTCTGGGGCATGAAGTGAGTAAAGGGATGGAGAGGTCCCTTAGGATGTAGGCAAACACATATGACCTCAAAGGACATGCCAAAGCATCTGGCAAATAGTGGTGCTTTAATAAATGCTTATGCTGAACTGAGCTGTTAAAATGCTAGTATAATAATAGCTTATGTAGGTTGTAAAGGCAAGAGAGCTCATTTCTCCTCTCGCCAACATTGTAACCAACAAACTGAATTTCTAAAGCCTATTCAAATATGTTCTCAACACACAGAAGTAACTTTTAAAGATGTTTTCACTTAAAGAATACCCTCTGAAAATAATCATTTCTTCCCAATTAGGAACATAGCTCCACAATATAAATATTCATAAGCTGGAATTTTTGTTAGTTTTAATTCACTAATATATTCCTATTACCTAGAAGAGTATCTGGTATATAATAGGTATTCAATACATACTTATTTGATAGTCTATGATGTATTTTAAGTACATGTACTACAGTATGCTCTTTTTTAATAGTACTAATAATCCATAATTAAGATTAGTCAAGTTACTGTCCAGAAATGCCCCTCCAAAGCCAAATGATTCCCATACCCCAGGTGACAGCCCATTTCTTTGAAGAGTAAATAAGTTCATATCCAGAGTCTCACTTAACACCTGAATGAGATGATGACATTTGGGATTTTTTTGAGCTTATATCAGGTATTGTATAAATTCATTTAACTGAAATGTCTAGAATAGGCAAGTCCATAGAGACAAAAGTATGTAAGGGGCTGCCAGGAGCTAGGGGACTCGGGGAATGAGAAGTGACTCCTTAGGGGGTTTAGAGTTTCTGTTTGGGGTGATGGAAATGTTCTGGAACTCGTGCTGATGGTTGTGCAATATATTAAAAACACTTCCTCGGTATACTAAAAAGCAGTGAATTATACACTTTAAAATGATGAGTTATTGTTTGTGTATAACATTTCAATTTTTAAAACTTGTTAAAACAGGAACAGTTCCATATATTTAGTGTGTACAGTATCTATATACAGGTATACCTCATTTTATTGCACTTCGCTTTATTTCCCTTCACAAATGTTGCGCTATTTACACTGAAGCAAGACCCTCCACAGTAAAAAGATGTCAGCTCACTTTATTGTGGTGCTCTGGAACTGAGTTCACCGTATCTCTGAGGTATGCCTGTACACACACACTCATGCGGCTGATATTTGACTAGTACACACTGGTGTGGCTATACCAGTGGTAATAATGTTTCTTCTGGTGCCCTCTAGCTGCCCCAGCTCTCCCAGTGCCCCCTCCAGACCTCCACACATCAGAAAGGAACACAGGTTACACCAGGTCATCAAGAGAACTCCAGGGCCCTGCTCTGGCTGCTGGACATTTGAGGATTTGGAGGTGAAGAGATATAGAAAGGTAATTATTAACCTTTTGATTATTCATCTTTGGGTTGTTTTACATGATACACAAATGTGGGTAGGGGTTTTGAAATTAAAAAAAAAAAAAATACAGCCGCTGAGAATGGGCAGCATGAGCGGAAGGACGGAATGCTTGCTTAGTCACCATGGCGACAAGGCAAGCTTTCCTCCTGGCAGCGGAGGACCTCAGCGAGCATGGAGGGGTGGGAGGAAGAGGGGGGTGATCAGACATCTGCTGAAGGATCCCAGATTGGAGAGGGTGCAGGCCAGGCTGAGGGACACCGTCCCTTCCCCCCCATGCACAAATTCCGTGCACCAGACCCCTAGTAGATTAATAATGGTTTACCTAAATAAAACCTAGTGAAATAAAATATGGATGTTCTTCCATGTTTGCCATATTACACTCTTAGAAACCTTATTCCTAATAAATGGCCATCCATATTGATGAATTTGGTTATATATTAATATCTGCAATAATCCTCTCTGCCACTAGATGGTGATTTAGCCTATACTATGTTGGAATCACTCAGAGCATAAGACTGGCTGTTAGCTACCAACAGGAGTTACTAAAGAAGGAAGTAAAATAAGAAGGGAAATACAGGTGTGATTAACATGTCCACTTGTGAATGGACAAAGGAAAAATACCAAATTAAAAGACGGAAGCAAACCATATATATATTAAGACTCTTCTATAAGAATTAAAGGAAAATTTCAAAAACATGAATAATAAGTAAAAATAGGAGCTCTAGTAGGAATGGCTGTTGATTGAGCATCATCCCAGATAGATTCGGGGTCAGGTCACATGTCTGGTTTTGGGCTCAATCCCCAATAGGGGGAGTGGTGTGCGGAAGATATTATAGATGATGAACATTTCCCTATCACATCAATGTTTCTTTCTCTTTCTCTCTCTCTCTCTCTCTCCCTCCCTCCTTCCCTCCCAACTTCCTTTCCTCCTTCCCTCCATCCCTTCCTCCCTCCCTCTCTCTAAAAAAATATAAAAACATATTTAGAAAATAGAGGATATGGGAACCAGGTGGAGGGGAGCTATGGGGGGGGGGGGGGGGGGGGAGAAAGAGGAACAACTGTAATAATCTGAACAATAAAGATTAAATTTAAGCCGAAACCAGTTTGGCTCAATGGATAGAGTGTCGGCTTGGGGACTGAAAGGTCCCGAGTTTGATTCCGGTCAAGGGCATGTACCTTGGTTGCGGGCATATCCCTGGTGGGGGGTGTGCAAGAGGCAGCTGATTGATGACTCTCTCTCATTGATGTTTCCAACTCTCTATCTCTCTCCCTTCCTCTCTGTACAAAATCAATAAAATATATTTTTTTAAAAAGATTAAATTAAAAAAAAGAAAATAGAAGGAAACATTTTTAAATACTTGATTGTCACATTCTTGTAGAATTAATTGGTGTTGTATAGTCTTTTTCCTGTTCCTTATCTTGATGTTCACAGTTCAATTGCAGTAGTATTGTTTTTCTTCTCTATCCCCAGGTCATTGCAACATTTTACACAGAAGTTACTATTCTAGTTATTCAGGCTATTTTTACCTCAGTCTTGTTGGTGCCAAAGGCTATATATAAGGGTCTAAGAAATGGATGTTTTCTGATAATAAACATCCAATTTTCTCTCTCGTTTCTCAGGGTATTTTATATACTTTTTTTTTTTTCTAACTGGGGCATGGATGTATCAATACTCAGGATATACAGTTTAGACTCAATTTTTCCAGAAAACAGTAAGTCAAAGCTTTAACAATAACAATAGAAATCCAGTGTACAAGAGAATGCTCATACCAAGCCATTGTAAAGGCTCTACAGAACTGATGTTATGTTGTGGGAAGATGGGCAACTTGGGCATATTAAAGTCTAACAAAAAGAAAATGGAAAGTCTTCAGGAAACTTATAAAAATCATAATTTTTGACTTTTAAACATATTTGGTTGTGTTATTTACCTGTAAGGTTGTATTTTGTTCCCAGGGTCTTGAAATTCCAGTGCTTTTTTAACAACAACTTCGTTTTCTTCTGGATACACTGAACATGTGCAGTAAACAACTGCTTGAGCTTTCATAACTACATTTAAAGAAGATGTAATTAACACAATGGCCCCATTAACAATTCTAAACAAATGTGCTATGTTTCCAAACCTATATTTGTATTAATACTGCATGGCATCGATGGGAATGATTTCCATAGATGGTTCCCCTGTATAGCACATATTAATTATGTAGTCTGTGACCCAAAAGTAAATCTAACTGTTTTGTATAGAATTAAAAATTCAATCAATGTGACCAACCTAGTTAGTTACAAACACAAACAAACAAATACTACGATGACCATGAGCGATTACTTCCAGCCACTATTCCACAAGCCATATCATATAACTAAATAAAAGGACTCTAGAGACAGACAGACAGACATGTGGATCTTAGTTCTATTATTTACTGCTGTCCGAACCTAGGAAAATTACTGAAACTCTCAGATTTTTCATCTTTAAAATGAGGTAATGCTACTACCTGTAACTCATTTGTCCACACTTACCAAGCACTGTTCTAGCCCATTGGAGATACACAGACAAAAGTCCCTGTCTCTGGGGAGCTTGTTTTCGATGTTTTATTGATATAATTAGATATAAATAAGCAGGAAAAGTGTAATTAGATAATAAATGCCATAGAGGGAAAACAAAGCAGGTATGGAGGATGTCTAGTTTCAAGAGATTATACTGTAATTTTAAATAGAATAGTCAGAGAGAAAATATAAAATTTAGTTACCAACTTTCTAATCTTCTGTCCAACTTATTTCATAGATAATATACACAGTTATCATGTTTAATGTTTAGTAGCATCAAAAGGGCAGACCTCTTCTGTGCCTTCTATTTTGCCTCATTTCTACCTCATGTATGCTATATCTTTATGTTTTGAATTACCAATAACCTATGAAACCAAGGGTCCCTATAACTTTGATTAAAGTTAGCTTTAAGTCCTAATTCTAGAAATGATATCCCTCTAGCTATATATATATATATATATATATATATATATATATATATATATCCCTCTAGCTATATATATATAGCTATATATCCCTCTAGCTATATATATATAGCTATATATCCCTCTAGCTATATATATATATATATATATATATATATATATATATATATACACACACACACACACACACACACCTGTCAGAGACCTAGCCTTTCCCCTGGATCATCAGCAACCCCAGGGAGTAGAAGACAGGTCAGACTTGACTAATGGTCACAAGGTCTAGACCTCTGGCAGGCTAAAGATAACATCTTAACATAAGTTTCAGCTCCTGAGCCCTAAGGTGGAACCACTCCCCAGCTACTGTCCCATGACATCAGACAAAGGGACACTAGAAATAGCTCAGAGCTGCCCTTAAGACCTGAGGAAATTATTCTCTATCCTTACCTCACCTCCTACCAATCAGCTCCCAACATGACCTGGGACCGAAGGTGTCTTAGAGATTTTGCCCTTTGTCTGTCACCTACCCATCTTCAAGGAATCAGGCTTTTGAGCATTAGCTTCCCGTTCTCCTGGGTGGCACCATTTTTCAATAAAATAGCCAGTATTTCTCCACTGCAATTCTCAGTGTCTAGTGTTTGGCTCTGCTAGCACCGGGTGGAGGCACTATTTCTGTCTCTAACACCTATCCTTATCTTTGAGTAGGCATTTGATAAACATGCACTGAATTCATAAAAATGTATACAATTTCTCAGGTACTTTTAGATTTCCATGTCCATGTGTACTCAGAATCTAAATGGTACTTAAATCTGAATGCAGTGATTAAAGAACTTACTACTCAGGCTTCAAATCAAGAGATCTAGGCTTGATGTGTAATTGCCTCTCTCTATTCTCTACTTAGCAGTAAGAGAAATAAGAGTTTAATTAAAATTTGGATTGTATTATAGAAGAGTTGTTAGGAGCAGGCAGTGACAACAGAAAAATTACATCAAGTAAGAAGCCAAAGAGAAGGAAGAGAGAAGATGAAAATACCATGATGGATGTAGATAACTATTTCACTTCAGCATTAAGAAATGTGAATTATCCTTGCTAACCTGTTAAAAATTATGGCAAAGCATATATTTTTTAAAGACTTAAGTTGATAAAAAATGAACATTTTGTTACTTTAAGGTGTTAAGACTGAGTGTTCTGGGAAATTCACTATGGTTCACACCTCACTGCCTGATTATACTAGAGAAATAGAGTATTAATGTTTCTTAAATGGCAAACATATTAAGACTGAACTGATAAACCTACATTTCATTGCATGTGTTAGCTGTTCATATTGCTGTTGAGCAAGAAAACGAAGTTTTTCTGCTGATGTGCCTCCTTGAGAGAAATCTTTAAGTAAATCTGTATCTAAAAGCAAACAAATTTTTAAAATTATATCATTATTACATGTTTTCCATATATGGCTATTATCACATTATTTAATTTTTTGATCATTTTCCCTATTAATGAAAGTTTTCATGGAAAATATTAAAACTAAATAGTATTATAAAAACACTGACTTAAATATTAAAAACTAAGTTGACAAAAATCATTATTTTAGTTTTAATAGTTTTTCTTTTTCTCCAAACTCTTATAAGATAGCCAATCAACTAGCCAAATAAGTCTTTAGATACAGAAAAAAGAATGCTGTCAGCCTAAAGATTAATAGAGGAAAGGAGAAGATAACATTTAATTTCACAAGTAGAAATGATGACCTATAGTCTAATCTCAGTATGAAAAACACACAAAAGAATACAATTTAAAAATTTAACTTACCAAAGGAAATTTTAGATGAAAAAAATTCAGGGAAGCAAATATATGCCTTCTTAATAGATCAAGAAACTATTATAGTAACATTTTAATTTCTGAAGCTAATGTTAACATATTTCTTGATATTATTTGCTAAGACATATTAAATGCTACTTTATATAGATTATTTTATTCAACAACTTTTAACATTGAGGAAACTGTGTAAACATACTACATTAAACAACTTGTCTAAGGTCACATAGCTACTCTGTTGAATATCAAGTACATTATACACAGTATTTCATACATGGAAGCTATTCATTAATCAGATATATCTGATGTCATTTTGATTATTTTAAATTATCTATACATTTCAATAATTTAGAATTTAAAAATTAAAACAAGTACCTTCATGCTCATTTAAAATAAATTCTACTGGATTACTAATACCCAGTCCTGAACAACGAGGTAGCAGGAGAATCACTTTAACTTTCTGTAATCTATTATCCTTCCATTCAATGTTCAGAAATGACTCAGGAAGTATTTCAATATCTGGGAGAAAAAATATAGAAAAAATAATGTAAAATACTAATTAAAAGCCCTAATGTGGTATGTAAGTAAGCCTATTATCAGTGTTCATTTTTAAATCCTCGTTGCCACAAAACGTCATTCCAATGTAGTCTGAAAAGAGGATGTTCATCTCTGATAAGTTCGCAAAGTTAATACATGAATTCTGTAGGGTTTTCTCTTCACTTGAGTGATTTTGAAGTTTAAGTATTCCTACATAAGACATAATTAAGTTTTCCATTCTGAACTTCAGATTCCATTTAAAGCAGTATGCTGCAGTGGAGGGAAATAGCTTTGGAGGCAGAAATACCCAAATTTGATTCCCGATTTCACTATTTACTAGCTGTGTGACAATCTCTCAAAACCTCCATTTCCTTATTCATTAAAGTGAGATGGCAGCCCTAACTGGTTTGGCTTAGTGGATAGAGTATCGGCCTGCAGACTAAAGGGTCCCAGGTTCGATTCCAGTCAAGGGCATGTACCTTGGTTGTGGGCACATCCCCAGTGAGGGGGGGTGGGGTGGTAAAGGCAGCTGATTGATGTTTCTCTCACATTGATGCCTCTAACTCTAACCCTCCCCCTTCCTCTCTGTAAAATATCAATAAAATATATTATAAAGTGGGATAACAAAGCCTCCCTTATCTAACGGTGGTGAAGACTGAGATGAAGTATTTAAGCTCACATGGTGCTCAGTAACAGTTATTTCCCTGTCCATCTTTAAAATCCCCTTTTATACTCTATCTTCCCAGAGAAAAAGATATCAGTAGTATTTATGAGGCGCAGTGTAAGGTACCTCAGGGGCCTTGAAATTTAGTTTGAGAGTCTGCTCTCCCTCAGGTTATAACTCTCTGTGCCCATCCTTTTTGTTGTTAATCTTCAACAACAATCTGCAACTGAGGTATATGCCCTTGAAAATAATCGAACTCGGGCCACTGAGAAACCTGGCCACAGCTCTGTGCCCCTATCTTAATGCCACTTCTTTACTTCTGCGACTTCCCCTCACTTCTGAGGAGTCACTCCTGAAATTACCCTACCCACTCCTTCCTCTCGCCTGATCAAGTTTTCCCTTTTCCTATTCTGACACCTTTGAAATTATTGTTTTATTCAAGTGGGCCTTTTGCTCCCCCACTCCCACCCCCATTTTAACTTATTGGAAAAGTTCAAACATGTACAAAAATAGCCATAATACAAAATAAATTCTCAAGTACTGTCATAGACCTGCAACTGTGAACCATTCATCTTCAATCTTGTTTCATCTACATCTGCACCCACTTATACCACCCCACATTACTTTGAATCTATATTTCACTGTATATCTCTAAAAGATAAGAACTCCCTTTAAAATAGAATTGCAAAATTAAAAAAAAATTCCTAATTACCATTAAATAATAATAGTATCAAATGATGGCTCAAATTTCCCACAGACACACATAAAAAATGTTTAATAGTTTAAATTGATAACATCTTAAATATTTTTTATCTGAAGGTTACCTTTCCATTATTAACATTTATTTCTTAAAACTTCATTATTTGTACTAGATTTTCCCACAGTCTAGATTTTGCTAATTGCTGCCCTAGAGTGTGATTTCATATGTCCGTTTTTTGTTCTTCCCATCAATCAGTAGATCTTTAAAAGCTCAATTAAATTCAGTCTTTTTTTCTCCCCCAGTGGGGAGGCAGAGGGAAGCAAAACTATTTCCCAAATTGTGTCATATTCATCCACTATGTTCCCTCTGTAGTATCAGCAAAGGGGTTATAAAATAGTCATAGCATGATGGTCTTCCCTTAGCTACAGTTTGTTTTCATGGTTTCAGTTACCTGTGGTCAACCATAGTTGGAAATATTAAATTTCCCCAATCATCAACTTCAGCTGCTCCTGACATCAACCAATGACATCATCAACCATTGACATCATCATATTTCAATGATTCAGGATCACAGGAAGCAGATGATCCTCCTTGTGATATATCATCAGAGGATCAGTAGCCTAACACTTCATCTCACTGTGTAGGTGTTTATCATCTCACATCTCATTCATCTCACATCTCATCACAGGAAGGGTGAGCACAGAACTAAGATATTCTGAGAGAAAAAGACTGAGACCATATGCACATAACTTTTATTGCAGTATACTGTCAAAACTGTTCCATTTTATTATTAGTTATTGTTGTTAATCTCTTACTGTGCCTAGTTAAAAAATTAAACTTTATCATGGTTGTATCCCCTGTGGATAAGGAGGGGCTACTATACTAGTTACTCATTCTATCATCCTTTTTCCATTATCTGGAATACTTCAAAAAAGGAGAAACCTTTCCTCCATGCTTGGCCACCCAATAGTTCCTATTTTCCCTGCTAATTTGGTAAAAGGTGGTCAATTACTTGAGGGCTCTGAAATGTACAGCAGTGATAACTGCAGAGTAGCCACTGCCTACCAGGGCTGAAAGAACTGTAAACGAGGAACTTAACAAGTCAGAGGGGTAAACAAGGCTGAGACTGAGATCTCTGAGAAGAGGGCAAGGCTAACACTGTTAGGAGCCCTGCATGGCCACCACAGGGAAAAACAGACCTTGGGAGAAGAAAAGTCCTATCTTCTTCCTCTCCAGTTTTGCAATGTTTCTCCAGCACCTTCTGAAGGCAGAGCCTAATGCTGAGCCAGCTGGCAATGGAGAATGGAGTATACTAAAAGTTGTGTTAAGTTTGGTAAGTTATATTGTCCCAAGAATATGCCCATTTTGTTTAAATGTTCAAGTTTGTTGGCACTAAGTTGCTCATAGTATCTTTTTATTATGTTTTAACTGTCTCTAGGATCTGTAGTGGTTTTTATCTGAATGGGCTCAGAATTTTTTTTTATGTGCCCTGACCAGGGATCATACCAACAACCTTGGCAAATTGGGATAGTACTCTAACCAACTGAGCTAGCCAGGGCCAGATCAGATTGTCTTATGATCTTTTTCTTGAGTCAAAATAAATTCAGGTCCTTTAGCCATTATTTGTGACATTTATCTTATTGATTTTAATATATTTTAGATACAAGTCTGTTATCAGAAATACAATTTTCAAATATTTACTCCCATTCTGTGGGTTGTCATTTTCACTATCTTGACAGTGACCTGTGAAGAACAAACATTTTTAATTTGGATAAAGTCCAATTTTCCTATTTTTTTTTCTTTTGTTGCTATGCTTTTGCTATTATATCTAAATAACCACTGCTAAATCCAAGGTCATGAAGATATACCCTGTGATTTCTTCTAGGAGCCCTATAGTTTTACTTCTTACATCAGTTTTTAATCCAATTTGTGTTAATTTTTGTATATAACTTGAAGTAGGAGTCCAACTTAATTTCTCTCTCTCTCTCTCTCATTATCCAAGGCTTTTCTTCCATTGATTTTTAGAGACAGTATAAGAGACAGAGAAAGACAAAGAGAAATGTCAATGTGAGAGCAACACATCAATTGGTTGCCTCTTGCATAACCCCTGATCAGGGCCCAGACTGGAAAGGAACCTGCAACTGCAACTGAGGCATGGGCTCTTGACTGGAATTGAACCTGGGACCCTATGGTCCACAGGCCAATGCTCTATCCACTGAGCCAAACCAGCTAGGGCTAGTTTCATTCTTTTGCAAGTGGCTATCCAGTTATCCCAGCAGTATTTGTTTTTCCTTCCTCATTGAGTGGTTTTAGCAAATATATATATTTAAAAAAAAAATTATATATATATATATATATATATATATATATATATATATATATATATAAATAATATATATATATGCCTAAGTGACCATTCAACATTCACTATGATGTGCACTGACCACCAGGGGGTAGACGCTCTGACCGGTAGGTTAGCTTACTGCTGGGGTCCAGCCTATCAGGACTGGGCAAAACAGGCTGGACACACCCTGGAGCCCTCCTGCAGTCCCTCCTGGGCCCTGATGGGGACTGGGCGAGATAGGCCTACATGCCATGGAGACCTCCCATGACCCGACTGTGCACCAGTGGGGTCCCTTGTCCTGGCCTGCACCTCTCACAATCTAGGACCCCTTGGGGAATGTCGGAGAGCTGCAGACCAGGCCAAGGGACCCCACTGGTACACAAATCCATGCACCAGACCTTTAGTGTGTGTTGTGTATAATATATAATATAATAAAAGCCTAATATGCAAATCGACTGATTGGCAGGATTTGAGGCCTAACTGTGGAGCAGTTCCTCCCAATATGTGTCCCAGAGCCACCCAGTGCTGGAGCTCAGATATTAAGTCCGAGTAAGTTCATATGCTGGTCATTTAAAAGGAACACCTGGGTCTCTAGCAGCCTCTGTGTTACTCAAGGTTCTTCAATAGACTTTTAAGAATCTTAGTGAGAATGCCAAAGACATGAAAAAGGACCAGTCAGAAATTAAGTTCACACTAACTGAAATAAAGAACAATTTACAGGGATTCAACAATAAAGTAGAGGATTCCATTAATCAAATCAATGACTTGGAATATGAGGAAGCAAAAAACACCCAATCAGAAGAGCAAAAAGAAAAAAGAGAATTAAAAAATATGAAGAAAGTATAAGGAGCCTCTGGGAAAACAAACATACCAACATTTGCATTATGTTGCCAGAAGGAGACGAAAGAGAGCAAGATACTGAAACCTATTTGAAGAAATAATGACTTCCTCTATTTGATGAAAGAAATAGATCTACAAGGTGAAGAAGCACAGAGAGTCCCAAACAAGAGTAACCCAAAGAGGTCCAAACCACGACACATCATAATTAAAATGCCAAGAGTTAAAGACAGAGAGAATATTTAAAGCAGCATGAGAAAAGTAGTTAGTTACCAACAAGCGACTCATATGACTCTCAGATCATTTCTCAACAGAAACTTTGCAGGCCAGAAGGGAGTGGCAAGAAGTATTCAAAGTGATGAATAGAAAGGACCTACAACCAAGATTACTCTACCCAGCAAAGTTCTCATTTAGAATTAAGGGTCAGATAAAGAGCCTCACAAACAAGAAAAAGCTAAAGGAGTTCACCACCACCAATCCAATATTAAATGAAATGTTGGAGTGTATTATTTAAGAAGAGGAAGAAGCCAAAACTGGTTTGGCTCAGTGGATAGAGCATCGGTCTGCGGACTGAAAGATCCTGGGTTCGATTCCAGTCAAGGGCATGTGCATTGGTTGCGGGCACATCTCTGGTAGGGTGTGTGCAGGAGGCAGCTGGTCGATGTTTCTCTCTCATCAATGTTTCTAGCTCTCTATCTCTCTCCCTTCCTCTCTGTGGAATATCATTAAAATATATTTAAAAAAAAAAAAAAAGAGGAAGAATAAGAAGTAGGATAAAATCTACACTAATAAAAGAGTAGCATGCTAATTGGCCATACCTTCACAACACCCACCAGCCAATCAGGAGTATGCAAATTAACCCAACAAAGATGGTGGGTTAATTTGCATAAGCAGGCACCAAGTGGCCAGGGTGCTTACGTGTCACTGTGGCAACGATGCAGGTGTTCCCCACCACCCCAGCCACTCTGGGCTTCTGGGCAGCGTGGGGAGGCAGAAGGCAGCTACAGCCAGAGCAAAGGCATTGCCAGCAGCCAGAGGAAAGAAGGCCCATTCTTGCATGCATCTTTGTGTATCAGGCCTCTAATATAAACAATAAAATGGCAACAAATACATATCTATCAACAATCAAATCTAAAAATCAAAAACAAACAAGAAATCTAATGAACAAATAAACAGGTGAATAAAATGGAATCAGAGGCATGGAAGCATGGAACAGACTGAGGAATCTCAGAGGGAAGGGGGGAAGGAGGGGCAGGAAGAGATTACCAAAGAACTTACCTATGGACACTGACAGTAGGGTACTGAAGGCTTGGGGTAGGGTGTGGTGGGAACCGGGTGGAGATGGACAATGGAGGGAAAATAAGGGGGACATCTGTAATATTCTCAACAATAAAATTAAAAAAAAAAAAAATACACTGTATCATCTCCCTGGTTGCTTTGAACACTGTTCTTGATTCTGTCTTTCTGCAATTATGTTATGATGTACCTTGCATATTTTCTGTTATATTTATTCTTACTGAAATTCATAGAACTTTTTCTATCTATGACTTAATTACATCCATTTTGAAAAATATCCAGCCTGAATTTTGAATATTATTTCTTCCCAATTCCTCTTCTTTTTTTCCTGGGTCCCCAATCACAACATACATGCAATCACTGGATCCGAGTCTCATGTGTATTTTGTGATATTTTCCATATTATTCACACTTTTGTCTTCCCATGCTTTAGTTGGAGTATTTTCTTCAGACTTATCAGCTCACTTATTCTTTCTTTAGCTCTGTCTTATCTACTAAACCTATTAATATCTTAATTTCACATATTGTATTTTTCAGTTCTAGAATTTTCTTTTGACTTAATTTTTTTAAATGTTTTCATTGATTTTAATGCTCTGGTTTCTCTTCAGACCGCATAAATCTTTTGCCTTTTTTAAATGTTTTTATTGATTTTAGAGAGAAAAGAAGAAAGAAAAACACTGACGAAAGAGAAACATCAACATTGATGTGCTGCCTCCTATACACCCCTACTGGGGATCAAGCCTGCAAGCCAAGCATATGCCATGACCGGGAATCAAACCTGTGACCTCTTGGTGCATAGGTCAATGCGCTCAACCACTGAACCACACCAATTGGGCTTCTTTGCACTTTTTTTAAAAATATATATATTTTATTAATTTTTTACAGAGAGAAAGGGAGAGGGATAGAGAGTTAGAAACATCGATGAGAAACATCTATCAGCTGCCTCCTGCACACCCCCTATTGGGGATCCATCCAGCAACCAAGATACATGCCCTTGACCGGAATCAAACCTGGGACTTCAGGCCACAGGCCGAAGCTCTCTATCCACTGAGCAAAACCAGTTAGGGCTGTGGTTGGCAAACTGTGGCTCACGAGCCACATGCGGCTCTGTGGCCCCTTGAGTGTGGCTCTTCCACAAAATACCACGGCCTGGGCAAGACTATTTTGAAAAAGTGGCATTAGAAGTTTAAGTTTAAAAAATCTGGCTCTCAAAATAAATGTCAATCGTTGTACTGTTGATATTTGACTCTGTGGACTAATGGGTTTGCCGACCACTGGATTAGGGCTCCTTTTCGTTTTTTAAAATTATTGTTTCCAGTTCTCTGCTAAAATTCTACAATTTGGCATTTAGTCTCATCAGAATATTAGTCATAGTTATTATGAAGTCCACATCTGATATCTCTAGTATTGGACCCTCTGTGGGATTGCTTCTATTAGTTTTTTTTTCTTTTTATTACACTACTAGAGACCTGTTGCAGGAGTATTCCTGCAAGACTTCCAGCGGGCTTCCTTCCCGCCACCTCCACCTCTCCCTTCCCCCCCCCACCCCCCGCTGCAACGGGCAGGCCCGCCCGTTCCACCTGCCCCATCACGCCAGCAGGCAGCCACCACTGTCACCACCTCCGCAGCCGCGCACACTGCCACCACTGCTGCGGCCTCTCCCCTCCCCCCCTCACACACACACAACCTGCCGCCGCCACCACTGTGTGCCCGAACCTGCCACGCCTGCCACCACCAGCTCTGGGGCCTCCCGCACCCCTGCTACGCGCCTCGCCCTGCCCCACCAGCCCTGCCCACCATTGCTGCCAGTGCTTTCCCTCCAGCAGCCGCAGCCACCTTGCTTTCCACTTTCCCTCCCTCTTCCTTCTATGCTGTCTTCAGTCTTTACTTCTCCCTCCCTCCACATATGCAAATTAACCATCTTTGTTGGGTTGATTTGCATACTCAGTCTGATTGGCTTGTGGGCGTGGCTTGTGGGTGTAGTGGAGTGATTGTTAATTTGCACATTATTATTAAGTAGGATAGCTTTTCTTTTTCTTTGTCTAGTGGGTTGTGTTTTATAATTTAGCGTCAAGACATTGCATTTGAAAAATTTTAAGAGGTGCCGGCACCGGTTTGGCTCAGTGGTAGAGCGTCGGTCTGCGGACTGAAGGGTCCCGGGTTCGATTCCGGTCAAGGGCATGTACCTTGGTTGTGGGCACATCCCCGGTAGGGGGTGTGCAAGAGGCAGCTGGTCGATGATTCTCTCTCATCGACGTTTCTAGCTCTCTATCCCTCTCTCTTCCTCTCTGTGAAAAATCAATAAAAATATATTTTTAAAAAAAATTTTAGGAGATAATATGAAACCTAGGATTATGTTATTTTCTTCCAGGGAGAATTTACTTTCACTTCTGGTAGACAGCTGAGCATTAGCAATCCCACATCACCTTAATCCAACTGCTAATTGAGATGATTGATATTTGAGCTTCAATTCATGGGAGAACTAATTACTATCAAGGATATACTTATTTTGTGCTCCAAATAAAATGCTGGTTATTTACCAGTCTATCTTTTTAGGTCAAACCCTGAATTGTACTTTTTCTCTCCCTTACCTTGTGAATCTGTCAAAAGTTTTTCTTACTTTTCAGCCTCACTGGGCCCATAAAAAATGTTATTTTTAGTTCTAGTATGATCCAATGAAAACCTTTTTAAAAATAAGAAGCCTAAGGGGACTTATCTTCTAGATAATATTTTTGTCCCTTAAGCACTCCTATGATTGTGTTCTTATTTATTAAAGGTTCATCAATCATTTCTACCACTCTCTTTGACTACTTATTGTTTGAACCTAAAATTAAATAGTGGCTAAATGTCAAGCAATATACCAAAGTGCCAATATATCCATTAATTTAAACTGTAGTTATTTAGTCGTGACTGATGTAGTTATTTTGGTTGGGCATTGTTCCATGCACCGAAAGGTTGCTGGTTCGATCCCAATCAGGGCACATGCCTGGATGGCAGGCTCAATCTCTGAGCAGAAGGTAGCCAACAGATGTGTCACTCTAACATAGATCTTTCTTTCTCTCCCTTTTCTCTTTTCCTAAAAATCAATAAAAATGCTTTTTCAAAAACTATAGTTGTTTAACCAATATTAAGCAATAAAAACAGACTGATATAGCATGACTTAGTGGGGGTTTTAAGAGTATAGTTCACATGGAGTTTTTTACATTAAAAATAACAAATTCAAACATTTTTAATATTTCTAAACCTTTTTATAATTTTTTATTGATTGACTGATGAGAGAGAGAGGGGAGGGGAAGAGAGAGAGAGAAGGGGGAAAGAGAAAGATCAAAATTGTTGTTCTACATATCTGTGCATTCATTGGTTCCTCTTGTATATGGCCTGACCTGGGACCAACCTGCAACAGTAGTATTTCAGGACAATGCTCCAACCAACTGAGCCAACTGGCAGGGCTCTAAATCTTGTAAAATTATCAAACAAATGAATATTGGTACTTACTTTTACATCCCATTTTTGTGAAGAGTTTCTTCAGATCAGGATGCTTAGCTTGAGCTTGTACTCCACACACAAATATTTTTGAGTTATTACTTATTAAGTTTGACATATGGGCAACTGTGTACCATGAGCCTGTATTGACCATTAAGATATCATCATCCACATTTAATAAAGCCTTTACAGAATGGACAGCAAGACTTCGAGATTTGTCCTGCAAAATATGGTATGATTAGAATTTCAAAGAATTTAACTAGAAGCATGAACTGACTTCTTTTTGGTAAAAGAAAGTAGTTGGTAGGAATCTTGAAGAGACACATAACCCATTTTATCTTAAAATATCTTATACATTAAAATATAAAGTTAACAAAAATAACTGATATAAACTGATTTAAAACAAAGACCTTTGTTTAGCTTAAATTATGACTGTTATCATTTAACTTGATTTGTAAGAGGTATATTATGCAATGCCAAAGTCCCCAAAATGTGGTTAATAGATTAGTGATGTCCTGCCCATTCTTATTCATTTAAGAAAACCCAATCATCTACTACTGCCATTCTCCCTTTAAAAAAAAAAAAAAAAAAAAAAAAAAAAATATATATATATATATATATATATATATATATAGAGAGAGAGAGAGAGAGAGAGAGAGAGAGAGAGAGAGAGAGAGAGAAAGAAAGAGGAAAGAAGAACTAGAGAGAAACATTAATTTGTTGTTCCACTTATTTATGCATTTATTGATTGATTCTTGTATGCGCTCTGAGAAGGGATCAAACCAGCAACCTTGGAGAATCAGGATAATGCTAAACCAACTGAGCTTTCCTGGCCAGGGATACTGCCATTCTTTCTTCCCTATTACAATGTAATTTAAATTGCTGCTAGTTCACAGAGCTTAAAAAATGGCTGATAAGCATATAAAAGGGAGCTATACAGACTGGGATTCTGCACTTGATCTCAGTGCTCAGTAGGGTGTCACTCTAATATAAGGCCAAAAGATTCTGCCCAAGAATATGGGTCCAGTAAAGAGATAAACCTTAGAAGGCTAGGTGAATCTGAGCTAAGAATTAGAATCTAAGGACATAAAAATTAATTTAAAAAAAATTTTTTTTTTATTATTTTTTTTTTTTTTTAGCAATCTTTATTGTTCATATTATTACAAAGGTTCCTCATTTCTTCCCCCCTCCACCAGGTTCCCACCCCACCCTCCGTCCCCCCCCATCCCCCATTGTCCTCATCCATAGGTGCAGTTTATGTTCAGTCTCTTCTTCCCTCAATTTCCCCAATAGTAAATCCCTTTTCAGATAGTAAATCAGTTACTTAGCATTTTCTCATATCAATAATACCTCCACATGCCCAATGATACACTTCACACAAAAGACATTTCCCACTAGGTCAACCAGCCTCATCCAGGCCCCACCCAAGGCACTCACAGATCAACACCCCAATCCTAAACTAACTCAACACATCCAGATCTAAGCCTTCATCACTTGATTCAGCAGACACTCAAGTTCCCACGAAAGTTTCCATCCATGTCTGAGAAGCAGCCGTGGGGCAGGGGCAGGCAAGGAGCGAGCTGTTCTGGGCCTGGCTGCTCAGGGCCTGGCCTCTGTTGCTCTGGTTCATTCCACAACCAGCTGCTCCGGGTCTGGTCACTGCCGCTCCCAACCTAGTTGCTCTGGACTTGGCTGCTGCTGCTCCGGGCCTGGCCGCTCCCAGCCTGGCAGCCGCTGCTCCGGGCCTGGCCGCACCCGACCCGCCTGCTCCCCCGGGCCTGGCCGCTCCCAGCCTGGCAGCCGCTGCTCCGGGCCATAAAAATTAATTTAACTTATATTTTAGATATTCTACTTTTTATTTTACGTGGAAACCTCATTATATCTCATTTTCTTCCTACATTGATAGACATTACACGCCTCTTCAAATCAAAGCTATGAGACTAAATGAAACAGATAATGGGAAAGTATCACACATTGCATTTTCAAATGCAGGATGGCTCTAGCATCTTCCACAGAAATGTAAGGAAAAAAAGGAATCAATGTACCTTCCCTTGAATCTTCCCTTGGGAGAGAAAAACATAGTTGCCAGCAATACAAGTCTACCCACCTATGGAGTCTAGGAAGAGAATATGTTCTTTACAACTTCACATAGGACAAAGATGCCAAAGTATAATAGGAACACTGATTATAAAGGTATTAATTTTATTCAAGGTGAAAACCAGAAACCTCCCTGATAATCTAGAAAAATGTGTTTGTTAGATTTTATTTATTTTTTGTTGTTGATAATCCTCATCTGAAGATATTTTTCTATTGATTCTTAGAGAGAGTGGAAGGAAGGGAGGGGGAGAGGCAGAGAGAGAGAAAAACAATGATGTGAGGGAGATCGGTTGCCTTCCGCATGTGCCCCGCCTGGGCCTGGGGATTGAGCCTGCAACCATGGTACATGCCCTTGGCCAGGACTGAACCCAGGGCCCTTCAGTCCCTGAGGCTGATGCTCTTCTTCACTGAGCCAAATCGGCTAGAGCAGGTTTTATTTTTAAGTGGAGATAGTCTTTGGATAAGTAGGATTATTGAGAGTCACAATGAATATAATTGTTAATTTACCTGAAATATGAGTTTATAATCTTTGAAGAGATCTATATTTAGAAGATCACTTTTAAGATGAGATGGGAAAATTAAGACATCATAGCAATGCTGGTCCACAGCAAAGACTTTTCCACCAGTATGCAATACAGTATTGACTTTAGTGTAGCCTCTTTTCTTCAAACTATGATAAACTTCTTCAGGTCTGTAAATATACAACATTAGGTTGTAACTACAAATATATTACATTAAAAATGTGTTTAACACTAGCATCTTTTCCTACAAAAAAAAATACCACTCCATTTATTACACTTAATAGAACTTACAATTTTAGGCAACGATAAGTTAAAAGATACAGACAGAAAAGTTAACCTATTTACATTTTTATCTTTGGTAGTTTGGTGATAAGATTCTGAACTAAACTATGATTCTCCAATTACTCCCCCAGATGTGACCCCACCCATATAAAAGGTAATTTTTCTTATCACATTATTTTGAAATATGAATAAAGAATCTGATTAAAACTCTTACCTAATTTTTAAAGCATTTATCCAAGCATAAAGTGGCAAAGTGGAGGCCCTTCGCTCCTGGTTCCTAACTGTTTCTGGAAGAATGTGGTAAATGGAAAGGGCATCATGTTTGATTCGACATCTTGCCAATGCCGCCGCCAATTTTGTCTTAAAACTAGAGATAGAAAATCCATTCTTGGTGATTACTGCATTGAAGACAAGTCTATCAATTTTCCACTGGAAACATTAACAAATTAGATTTCAAATCTTAACAAATCCTTCAGTAATTCTATTTCAAATTTTTGTAGTCTAATGTAAAAAATGGCCATATTTGAAAATAGAAATCCACTAATCCTGCTTCTTCTTTTCAATTTTCACTGTCCCTGGTTAGTTAACTAATTGTACATCTCTCAGATACTTATATCAAGTGCTACTTTCAAGACAAGTTTAATATACTGAGAGAGGTGTAGGATTTAGTGTCAGACAAACCTGAAGTTAAAGTCAGATTCTGTCACTTAATGACTGTGTGACCTTAAGACAGCAACAGTGTAGTCATTCTTTTCTTTTCTTTCTTTCTTTCTTTCTTTCTTTCTTTCTTTTTTTTTTTTTTTTTTTTGAGAGAGAGATAGAGAAAGGAAAGGGGGTGAAAGAGAGAGACAATGATTTTGTTGTTCCCCTTATTTATGCATTGATTGGTTGATTCTTGTATGTGCCATGACCTGGAAGCAAATTCACAATATGGTATATGAGGATGATGCTCTAACCAACTGAGCTACCAGGCCAAGGTAGTCATGGTAAGATTAAGAAACTTGCATGAATCTGTATCAAGCCCTTCCCAGTTCTGATTATCCCATGCCTCAAAGTTCCAAACAACAAAAGAAAAAGAATTGGTTAGCATGACCATGAAGACCCAATCATTTTTCTTGATGTCATAGCTCTAATTTTTAATAAATGAGAATACAGAACTTCCTTTTGATCCATATTCATATCATTTTCACAGTAGGAATCTAATTGAATAATAAACCTTAAGGATAACCTAGCTGGTTTGGTTCAGTGGACAGAGTGTTAGCCTGCAGACTGAAGTGTCCCGGGTTTGATTCCAGTCAAGGGCACATGCCCGGGTTGCAGGCTCAGTCCCCAATGGGGACTGTGCCGGAGGTCACCAATCAATGATTCTCTCTCAACATTGATGTTTCTATCTCTCTTTCCCTTTCCCTTCCTTTCTGAAATTAAAAGAAAAAAAAAACACCACATTTTTAAAAAAAGAAATGTAAGAAATTTGTGAACTGTTATATTTTTTCTCTATAAAATTTAACATGTATTACACATTATACTGTATAGAATTTTGCCAATGAAAATACTGAGTCCATATAAAACACTAGTAGCCCTGCACACAAATTCGTGTGCCAGTAACTCGCCAGTAGCTCACTGCCTGTTGCCCCACCCTCCTGTAGCTACCCCCACTTCGCCTCCCCTTAACCCCTCTCAATAGCTTGCTGCCCTGCCCCATCCTGTAGCTCTTTGCCTGCTGCCCCACCCTCTTGCAGCTCCCTCCACCCCCATCCCTACTTCATAGCTTGCTGCCCTGCCCCCTCCTGTAGCTCTCCGCCCCCCTCCTGATGATCCAGTGGTTACACAGTCAGTCATTAAACTTCACAGCATAATGACGATTTGCATATTGAATCTTTATTATATAGGATCCTTTTTACTTTTACAGTTACCTGTTAAGAAGGTTCTCTACTTCTTGAACTTCCACTATGCACTGTTGGTTATCAGTAAAGAGACGAGCTTGAAATTTTCTATCTTGGAAATCATACAGCATCACAATAATTAAACTGCTCAAATGATCTGGCTACCAAGGGGAAACACACACAAAGAAAAGAATATAAACAATATCTAGTAGATATTTATTTTCCGTTCCATTGTTTTTCATAACAGTGCAGGAATATGACTATATTTACAGAGTCTGGCTGGATTGAGAGAAAAAGACCTCAAAATAGGGGGAAAAAGAGCCCAGTACAAAATAGATCTTTAAAAGAAGACAATTTTTGACATGTTCATCAAAATGATTAGGGTCAGTATTAGAAGCATTAGAAATAAAGAGAGTTAAGAATATACTTTAAAGAGGTGTCAGCATTTAGAAAACTAGTTATGACTTAAACCTGAAGGCTTTTTAGTACTTCTGAAATAACAATTGGGAGACAGCTAACTATATAAAAGGCATCTACTTACTATTGTAGTACTTGGGAAGATGCTGCTATCTATTAATATAGTTTCCAAAATACCTTGATCTGCAAGTCAAGGTAAATGTCTGTTACTGAATATACCAAAGCTGAAAACAAAAACTGGAATCAAAATACACTTTAGACAATGTCATGAAATACATTTACTTTCATATCTAAAATATTCCTCAATTCTTGATAAAGACAAATTCAATGACATGATGAAATAGGTGCAATTGTTACAAATTTAAACCTTAATGACCCAGGTACCATATGGAATCACAGTAAAAGGTGCATTATCTGAATAGTCAAAGTAGTAATGAAGAAATACCAACCTTTATGTCCTTTGAAAAACATTAAAGACCTCATTCATAATGTCCTATCTTGCTATATGTTGCTGGATTCAATTTGCTAATACTCCATTTAGGATTTTTGTTATATGTTTATGTTCATGAGGGGTGGTCTGTAACTTCTAATATCCTTGTCACTGTTAGTGCACATCTTGTCCTTTCCAAAGGCACCCAGCCACAGCAGAGAGAGCCACAAGCTGTGGATTGCGGTGAGCTCCACACAGGGTATACAGTCAGTCAGAAACAGCATTTGACACTGTCCTGCACTAGAGATTAAGAGGCAAACTCAAACAGGCAGCCAAAAAGGGAGACAAAACAAACAAACAAGCTCCAAATGAAAAAACAAGAGAATTCTCCAGAAGAAGAGCTAAATAAAATGAAGATAAGAAATTTATCAGACATGAGTTCAAAATAATGATGGCAAAGATGGCATGAGAACAGATATAGTAACTATGAAGAATGACAGAGCGCTAATAACACAGTGGAAGAAATACACAGAAGATTAGGGGAAGCCAAGGATCCCATCAGTGAATTAGAAGACAGGGTATAAAAAAAAATCACTCAATCAGAGAACCAGAAAGAAAGAAATAATTAAAAAACTGGAGGTGAGCTTAAAGGAGCTGTGAGACACCATGAAATGTAACAATATTAGGGTGCCAGAAAGGGAAGAAGTGAGCAAGGGATTCAGAAGGTGTTCTCAAAGCATACATTAAGCAATTATAAGGGTTTTTTTTCGTTTTTTAAAATATATATTTTATTGATTTTTTTTTTTTTTACAGAGAGGAAGAGAGAAGGACAGAGAATTAGAAACATTGATGAGAGAGAATCATCGATCAGCTGCCTCTTGCACATCCCCTACTGTGGATGTGCCCACAACCAAGGTACATGCCCCTGACCGGAATTGAACCCGGGACCTTTCAGTCCACAGGCCAACACTCTATCCACTGAGCCAAACCCGTTTCGGCTAATTATAAGATTTTTCACTGACAGGTTAGAAGATGCTAAAATGGCCAGGTTAAGGCCACACCAGTACCTGGTATTTATAATTCACTAACTACTGTATTCACCTAGAGAAGTTGGAGAAAGAATTAATTAGCCATCAATAACATCAGCAATTTCAGGGACATATCTTTTCTCAAAGTTTTTTCTTTCTTTTTTTTTAAGAAATTTATTTTTTTTAAGAAATCATTTTGCCAGTTTTTCTTTGTTTTAAATATTTAGTATTCCTTGAAAGATCCAGAGATTCTTTGGGGGAAAAACACACAAAACAAAAACAAATTAGCTTCTAGTACTTAAGGGGAATAAGTAGGTTATTCTTCATTACCTCCTTTAGCAAAAAGGTGACCTTCAGGCTAGTTAGTAAAGCAGGAGTAGTGGTTGTCTTCATTTCAAAAAACAATACTGAGCCCTACAAACCTTAGGTTAATCAGACATACACACTCTGCTTTGATAGAGCTTATGCACAAAGAAGGACATCATCAAAGGAGCAAACAATAAAACTGGAAAACATAAAACCCAACCAAAGGAATACACTTAACATTTATATAATTAAGGGATTTTCTCTGACATTATTTTTCTTCTCCTGTACTTCCTAAAAGAAAGTAATATGGCCGAAACCGGTTTGGCTCAGTGGATAGAGCCTCTGCCTGCGGAAAGGTCCGGGGTTCAATTCCGGTCAAGTTGCACGTACCTTGATTGCAGGCACATCCCCAGTAGGGGGTGTGCAAGAGGCAGCTGATCAAAGATTCTTTCTCATCAATGTTTCTAACTCTCTATCCCTCTCTCTTCCTCTCTGTAAAAAAATCAATAAAATATATTAAAAAGAAAAAAAAGAAAGTAATATGACCTAATTACTTGTTTACGAATTCACCAGAAAACAGACCATTACCCAAGGTCTCTTGAGCTTCTACATTAATCTTTTCGGCTTTACTGCTCCTATAAACTTGTATGAAAGAAACCCTAGTTTTCTTTTCTGAACTGTGCTTCCATGAACCTGTATTGTATACACCAAATATGAGCTTACAAAGTACCATGTGAAAGTACTAATAAAATACTGATAATGCAGAAGATAAATGTGAAATGACAAGAGCCTCCAATATATTTTTTTTGAGCCTCCAATATTTTAAAGCAAAATATCAGGCCTATAATTATCTTGAAAAGTCACTGCACTTAGGAATTCAGAGTTTTACTCTACTTAATCATTCAGAAATTATTTAGATGATAACTTAAGCAATATATTATTATTCTAAGAAGAAAATAGTTGTACCAACAACCAAAGTCATCTTACTTTAGAATTTTAATATTTCTAGCAAAAGCAGGCTTGTAAAAGCCTATGATAAATAATTTATCTGAATGGGATTTTCTTGGTCATTAAAAAATATCAAATAGGGCCCAGCTCATGTGGCTCAGTGGTTGAGGATGGATTCATTAACCAGAAGGTTACAGTTCAATTCCTGGTCAGGGCACATGACTGAGTTTTGGACTCAATCCCTAGTAGTGGGTGTGCAGGAGGCAGCTGATCCATGATTCTCTTTCATAATTTATGTTTCTATCTTTCTCTCCCTCTCCCTTCCTCCCTCTGAAATCAATAAAAACATGTATTATTTTTAAAGTCAATAGTAACAAAAATAAAGTCATAAAACAAAATAAAGATTGAGAGGAAAAAGATAATCTACTACACACATGAGCATCTAATTAGTGCATAATTTTACATAAAATAATTTCAGACTTTTAGTATTGATTTCTAAAGGTAAGATTCAATAATCCATTAGGAAAACAAAATATCTATAATAGTCTTGGCATTAACATTAAATACCATCTAATCAACACAGATGCCCAGTCTGCATTTCATTCTTTCGAGGAAAAACATAAAAATGTTCATTTGACTCATTGGTTGGTCTTAAAGATTAAACTGGAGGAGGAAAAATGGTTAAGACAGATTTTAAAAGAAAAAAATCAGAAGCAGGAGAAAAGAAAGAAATGAAAACTAAAGGGAAGTTGCTTCTTAACATCAAATTTTTCTCTATATTGACAAATTCCTGGCCTTAAAGTTTAAATCATCTCAGCAGACAATCAAGAATATATAATCATATCTAAGAAATGAATGAAACATTATTCTAGCAGGGGACGTGTAGGAGGCAGCCAAATGGTGTTTCTCTCTCTCCCTCTCTCTAAAATCAACAAAAACATTTTCTTAAAATATATTTTTATTGACTTTAGAGAGGCAGAAGGAAAGAAAGAAACACTGATCAGCTGCCCCTTACCTCCAGCCTCCAGCCCAGATGGGAATCAAGCCAGAAATGGGGAATGAACCAGCAACACCTCAGTGCATAGGACAATGCCCAAGTAACTGAGCCACACTGGCTAGGGCTCCAGTAAAGTCTTTTTTTTTCTTCTTCCAAATATATTTTATTAATTTCAGAGAGGAAGGGAGAGGGAGAGAGACATAGAAACATCAATGATGAGAAAGAGTCATTGACTGGCTGCCTCCTGCACATCCCCTACTGGGGATTGAGCCTGCAACCCAGAAATGTGCCCTTGGCTGGAATCGAACACGGGACCCTTCAGTCCACAGTCTGATGCTCTATCCACTGAGCCAGCTAGGGCAACCAAAACATATTTTAAAATGAGAAATTAATGGGACATTTTAATTCCACTAAAGAATTAAAATGTTAGCTGCCTATGTGCAAGGAGGCCCAGTAAGTATTAATAATAATAAAAAAAAAAAGGCAAATGAGTAGTTGCTTTTTCAAGATTTCTTTAGGAAGCTATCATATGTGCTTATCACTCCAATCATGCTAATTCTCCACATATTTCCAGAACTTCTTTTTGTAACTATATTCAGTGAGTTTACAAGCCAACATAAACTTTGCAGTTTATATTACATTATAAATCACTGTAGTATTTAAATTAAAGTGTATGGGCTAGTACAAAAACAAATGTCTCCAAACTCTCTGACTTCTTGCTCTCCTAGTAACAATATTTGGTTCTGTTCTGTGATCTGCTCCCCACACTCAGAAGTTAATAATTAACCACCACAGAGGAAATGTGAAACATTGGCACCTCACGCCCTCCAAGGAGATTAGCAAGCAGAATTCTGCACAAGTTTGGTGGAATGAATGTATAACCTCCCCAAATCAAAGCTATTGATGCTAAATGGGGTCCTCTTAATTGGGGTTGATTTAGTTTTTACATTCATTTTTAATAGATTGCACTTTTTCTTCTTATTCCATCCCTATTCCTCTCCCCATCCCTCTGACTGGGTTTTTATTTATATTCTTGAGAGTTTTATTTATATTTTTGAGATGTAAACACAGAGAGTGGAAATACCCAAGGAGAGGGAAACTATAAAAGCGTGCTTCCATGGATCCCTGTTCTTCCTGCTAAGGGGAGGGTTTCCTTGTTCAACTTATTTTTTAAAAAAATATATTTTATTGATTTTTTTACAGAGAGGAAGAGTGAGGGATAGAGAGCTAGAAACATCGATGAGAGAGTCATCGATCAGCTGCCTCCTGCACATCCCCCACTGGGGATGTGCCCGCAACCAAGGCATATGCCCTTGACCCGAATCGAACCCGGGCCCTTTCAGTCCAGAGGCCGAGGCTCTATCCACTGAGCCAAACTGGTTTTGGCTCCTTATTCAATTTAATGACTGCATTACATCTAAGGCACCATGCTAGACAAAATCTACAGAGAACACACACACACACACACACCAACAGTTCTGGCCCGAAAAAGCGCGTTTTACTGGAACTCTCCTCATTCCTTGACACTTGCCACCACCGGCTAAAGACATCCACATGCACAGAAACGACATGTGGTATGAGTTCTCATGGCTTTCTCGCGCTGACTGGTCCTCGGGGCTGGGCGCTACTCACACTTGAGGGTGCTGAAGGCCAGCTCGTAGGCCAGATGCTGGAGGGACTCATCCTCGGGCTCGCCGGCCGAGGGCCGCAGGGGCTCGCTCCCGTACTTTATCAGGAGCTTCTCGGGGGCCGTTTCGATCCGGATGCCCTGGAAGATGTTCGCCGCCATCACGTACACGGGGTCCGGGTAGCCAGTCTTGTCGGGGACCCCGCTCTCGTCCTCCTCTCCGGAGGCTTCGTCGCCCGACAGGGCCAGGCGGGGGAGCTGCGAGAGCTCGTGGGGGATGCCGTCGCCGGGGAACTGCAGCTCGCCGGGCTCCAGCATGCCTGCCCCCGGGCTGCCGCCGTCGATTACCACTCAGGTGTCCCGGGAAATGCTTTTTCCCCCTGCGCCTTCAGCATCGTCTGTGGGAACAGAAAGGGGGTCTCAGCCCGTCCCTCTCTCCGCGGGGCCACGCCGGGTGCCCCCCCCCCCCCCCCGCCACACTCTGCGGCTGTCGCCTCGGAGACCAAGAGGGGACGTTTACCGGCCGATCGGAGCATCCTGTGCCCGAAGAAATCACACGCCCAAAGGGGGAGAGGAATGGAGGAGGCAGCTGGGGAGTCGCCTCCCAAGCGACAGGCGGTTTGGAGGGACACAGGCCGGCTTGGGGGGACACAGCCCCCCCGAGGAGCCGCCTCTACCGCCCGGCCCCTTCCTTTGCCCCCCAGGGCGGGCGTTTCCCGGGCCCGGGGACGCGGAGGCGGCGCGGCGAGCCCGGGGTGACAGGGGGGTGGAGGGGCGACGGAGGCCAGCAAGGGCCGCCTGGCTCCAAAGCAGCCTCTCCCGCCGGCGGGGTCGGGGCAGGGGCAGAGGCAGGGGCAGGGGCAGGGCCCGGGCCTCCGGCGCTCGCCTCGCTGGGCCTTCGGGTAGGAGGACGCGCCGCAGCGCCTCGCCAGCCACGCGCGGCCTCTCGTCGCGGGGGCGTGGCGGCTGAGCCGGTGGAACGCGAGCCGATGGACTTCGCGGGCTCAGGCACGCGCATCCTCTTCCTCCTCCGCCTCCGGGAGTTCTTCCGCTTAGGAACCTGGTCTCCATGGCAACCGAGAGCGGGGAGGGCGGAGGAGGAAGAGGGCTGGGGGGTCTGGGGGCGGGGCGCCGGCCAGCGCCCGAGGGCAATTCCCGCGGGATTTGGCCCCGGCAGCCTCTCGGGACACCTGTACCAGCCCCGCCCACCCGGAAATGGAAGCCCCCCCCTAGCGCGGACCTGGGGGTCCCTGGCTTCTCCGGGATTGCAAGTGGCGCCTCTTTCCCCGGCACGTCCCCCGGGGTCTCCTGGAAAGCCAGAGTTTTGGGTCGCTGTGACAACACCCAGTTTGTTAGCGGGGATAGCAGAGGCGCAGGGAATGCAAACAGGTGGGTGTAGAACTACTGATGAAAAGGGGTAAAAAAGAGACTAAATGTATTGCGAGGTGGTTGTTTTTGTTTCGTTTTGTTTTTAAATATATTTTATTGATTTTTTTTTTTTACAGAGAGGAAGGAAGAGAGATAAAGAGTTAGAAACATTGATGAGAGAGAATCATTGATCAGCTGCCTCTTGCACACCCCCTACTGGGAATGTGCCTGCAACCAAGGTACATGCCCTTGACCTGAACCGAACCTGGGCCTTTCAGAACGCAGGCAGAGGCTCTATCCACAGAGCCAAACCGGTTTTGGAGGTGGTTGTTTTTTTACAACTGTAGCTCACACGTTAGATGGATTCTCCGGGGTAAGTTATTGTAAAGATCTCTGCCAACTTAAGACCACATCCCTCCTTTACAGACGTTGCCTGCAAAGAAAGGCCTTGCTGAAATGGACCTAGGAAAGATCAAATTTGTCCCAACCTCCAAATTATAGAAGCCAACTGGGAACATATATAACCCCCCTCCAGAGGGTTTTAATAAGGCTATTTTTATTTTTATTTTTGAGAGCCCTAGAAAGAAGTCTGCATCAAAGAAAAATCTTAATCGTGGAAAAAATACTCATTGATTTCTAGAATAAAACCAAATGACTGAGATTTGGGTTTATTGTTGAGTTTCGATGCGCTTTAAACACTTCACTGATGGCCTTTTAACCTATTTTGTAATCTTCAAGTTCTGAAACCAAAAAGGAAAGGAAAAGATTGCTTTATTTTTGAAACCGGTTTGGCTCAGTGGTAGACTGTCGGTCTGCGGACTGAAAGATCCCGGGTTCGATTCCGGTGAGGGGCATGTACGATAGTTGCGGGCACATCCCTGATAGGGGGTGTGCAAGAGGCAGCTGGTCGATGTTTCTCTCTCATCGATGTTTCTATCTCTCTATCTCTCTCTCTTCCTCTCTGTAAAAAATTAATAAAATATATTTAGAAAAAAGAAGAAGAAGAAGAAACATCGATGAGAGAGAAACATTGATCAGCTGCCTTCTGGATACCCATTACTGGGAATGTGCCCACAGCCAAGAATCAAACCTGGGACCCTTCAGTCTGCAGGCTGACGCTCTATTTACTGAGCCAAACCGGTTAGGGCTAGAAAAACCTTTTGTAAAATAGAATTAGGCATAGAATTATGGAAGAAACTTGATAAATTGTTTCAAGTTTAAAATTAAATCTTTTAAAGAAATTAATAAAATACATGCTAATATCTATTTAAAAGAAAAATATCTTCTAGGTACTTGGTCCCTATTTTCTCCATAAGGCAAAAACAAAACAAAAAAGTCTACAAGATGAGTGAATTTCTTAATTCTGGACTGAGATGAAACAAAGTCATATGAAAAAGCTTGCAAGTACAAGCATGCTAAATATACTTAAGGTAAGTAACTCCAGAGACCCTACTGACTCCTGTTTAGGAATCTCAGAGATTTGCCACTTTGTAGAAGTGGTCCAATCTGGAAAATAAGCACAATTTACACTAACATTATTATGGATATTAAGGGATTCTAAACTGTGGTTCCTAGTCCTTCTCTTGGTGTGTGAAATAAGAAGGGATAGACATTCGAATCTGATTAACTTACATCTGTGAAATCTTAGGCAAGTTTTTAACATCCCTTAGCCTCAGTTTGGCACCACTAAATTTTTATTATAAATATTTGCGCCCAGCTGGCGTGGCTCAGTGGTTGAGCATCGATCCATGAACCAGGAGGTCATGGTTTGATTCCAGGTCAGGCACATGCCTGGGTTGCGGGTTCAATCCCCAGTGTGGGGTGTGCAGGAGGCAGCCAGTCAATGATTCTCTCTCATCTCTCTCATCATTGATGTTTCTATCTCTCCCTCCTATCTTCCTCTCTGAAATCAATATATATATAAATTATTTGCACCTATCTGTATTCTCCATTCATCTACCTTCTTTCTACCCACACAACCTGAACAACACATGCTCTAAAATTGTTTTATTTTTATTACATATTATATCTTTTTATTCCCAGAAGTTAGCACAATATTGTTCTCTTTAACACACACACATGCACAGAAGATTGTAAATATAAGATGTCTTAGGAATTATGGTACATTTTATTATTCAACACACAGTACAATCTGCTGAAAATATGAGCTAAAAGCCAACTATAAACTTAAGATAATATTGTCTTCCAAAATATTATTTGAGAAGCTCTTGTCTTTTATGATAGATCAATATGAGTGACAATCCATTGTATTGAAAAATAGATTTGAGTCTTTACCACCAAAATAAAGTGTAGGCAAACATTGTGAGTTAGTGAAGTCACCGTTGCTATTTACTCTAATCGTGTTTATAACCCTGCTCCTTGCCTCTCACGTCTGGGTTATGGCCTCATTGTGGAAAGGAGGGCACGTTCAGTCTCAGTGAGCAGTGTACAAAGGTAACCATAGAGATAGGTGTGTGGAGTCCATGGTTGTGAAAGCAGAGTAGTAATAAATGTCGTCTTTAAGTCACACTCTGTAATATAACCAGAACATTAAATTAGAGATGGTGTCAAAACTTAAAAAGTTAGTTACCGGGAGCTTTCTGTCAAAGGAACGTAATGGAGTGCTTTTCTTTCCCCAGGGGGTGAGTACTGGAAATATTTGTAAATTAACATTCCTTCAATTTGACTCAGAGTAGCTCCCGTATGTTCGCCAAGTAGGTGCTCAAAATGCATTTGCTCACTTGCTTCCATTTGATCTGGGTGTATAACACTGCTCAGTTCCTCTAAAGCCTGTTATAGAAATGTAAAAAGCATATGAAAAACAAACATTTATAACTTGTGTTCTTAAACACCAGGATGCAATTTATAACTATTGCTATTTAGAAATGGGAATTCATGATCAGATCTGAAATATCCCATCCCCAAAAGAGGGATAAGGGCTAGATGCCCAAGAAGGTGGGAGACTCATCACCCCAGAGAGGTGAATATCACCCTCTGATGCTGGGTGAGAGGGAGTGTGAAGGAATGCTTTACGTATTGCCAAAGGTAGCGTTACTCAAGCGTCCTGTTGCTTGAGTAATCCTTATGGAAACTTGTCTCAACTTGAAAAGGATAGAAAGGTGATAATGCAAACATCCCTCTGCAAAAAACAACAGATGGTTATGGGTGGGTTATTTAACACAAGATCATTAATAATGAGTGATTAGTTAAAAGAGCCTTATTCACTTGCAGGGGGGGAAGCAGCAGAAGACTGGGTGGAACAGAGTGTTCTAAAGGGTAAGGCATGTGGAGAGGAACAACAGTCTACACCATAGTCATTCAGAGATGGTGCCCTTAGAAATAATACTCTGAAATTTAGAACCCAAAAATGACAACAGCCGAAACCGGTTTGGCTCAGTGGATAGAGCATCAGCCTGCTGACTCAAGGGTCCCAAGTTCGATTCCGCTCAAGGTCATATACCTTAGTTGCCGGCACATCACAGTGGGGAGTGTGTAGGAGGCAGTTGATCAATGTTTCTCTCTCATCGACGTTTCTAATTCTCTATCCCTCTCCCTTCCTCTGTAAAAAAATCAAAAATGACCACAGCAACTAAGGAAGACTTTGAGTTACCTAGGACGCAAGGGGAAAAGAGGATTTAAAAGACTTATCATTCCAGCCCTTGATTATCCTTGTGGCCCAGGATTACAACAATCACTGTAATAGAGTAAACCAACACAGTCATTTCCTAGGGTTGGTTATTCAAGCACCACTTGCAAGAATTTTTTGCCATACTCAAATATTTATTTAATGTTTTCTTTTAAATTAGATTTGCTTTTTTTTTAAAGTAGAACTATAAATGGAAAAATCAACATAATATGCCGTCAATTAAAATAACCGCAACAAAACAATATTCTGAAATTCTAGCTAGGAACAGTTGTGCCAGGGCTCCCGGCTTGAGGTTAACTGTTCT